ATGTTATTTTTTCCTATTATGTTGAATTCAGCAAATAAATTGTAAATAAAATGTAATTGTGCATCGTGTTCACTTGCTTTCACTTTCATTTGACCAGGGATGCCTAAACTTTCACATACAACTGTATATACAGACTTCCGTGCAAAAAAAAGAAGGTCCAAGCCCAAATTATGATGTTTATTTACTGATAGTTTTGGCTGGTCAGAGTCCAGATTGAAACCCTATAGAGAATATTTGGTATCACATTAAACACAAACTAACACAGCAATGTTTTTCAAATGTGAAGTTATTTATATTCTTGTTTGTTCTAATTTCATTGAGGTTTTTCTCGTAAATCACATTTAAAACCTAGATTTAAATGTTTACTTACTAGTTTTAGGATATTCAGGGTGATGTGACAAACTAAATATTGTTTTTTTTTTTAAGAAAAAAAGTATTTACATCTTGTTTTCTATATATTTTTCTAGTTTTTGTGAATGGCTGGTTCACGTTGAGGGCAGAAGTGTGTGTATGTGTGTGGAGCAGGAGACAGCCGGGCTGCCAGACGCCTCAAATGAGGTGTTGGTGGATCCACTGATGAGGTGATGGCTCCCTTCTACACCTCTTGTCACGCTCTCTACATCATCCTAAATCATCCAGAGAGAGAGAACGGAAACTGCAGAATGAAACACAGACGGTGGGCGAAAGATAAAGGGTGATACACTCCTGTTTGTTATTTATAATCTTCAGATTTTTTTATTTTATTCATAGGTGTACATACGATTTCCATAAATAACCTTTCATGAATCTCATTTCATGCTCCGACCTCTTGTTTTTCTGCTGTGATTATTTCAGCTTTTGGCCACATGCAGCACTGATACACACATGCACACATAAATTATCCTTTTGTTTTCCTCCCTGTCCTCCCTCTCTTCTCTCTTCCTTTTTATTATTCCCTGTCCTTTCTTCTCTGTATGAGGGAAAGGAATGTGTTTTACTAGAGATCTATGAAGGAAACACACTTACATCCAGTTATTTTGCACAACTCTGGGCTTTGAATGGCTAGAGACAGTCTAACTGCTCTGACAACATAAGCTACATTCTGTGCAGCTAATTAAGTCGATTAAAAATCAGGGGTCGGATTCACTAAAGAGGCTTAAGAAAGAAAATTTTCTTAAAAATGTATTTTTTTTAACTTCATTCCTCGAGAAAACGGTTGTTATTCTTCAAATAACTTCTTAAGAATTCTCTTATTTTCTTTTCTTAACTATTTTCTTAAAAATAATTGGTAAGTGGTATTCTTGAAAGTAATATGTTCTTAAATGTTTCCTTAACCTTGCAACAGCCTCACACTCATCTTAGGCTGTAAGAGTTGTCAAGGTGAACATCTAAATGTATCACGGAAGTTGCCTCTGCTGCTCCTGCCCATCCTTGTTTTTTTTTCTGTTGGCTGTTTCTTCCACCATCACCTCCATTTTGCTCCTCTGAGTGGGATGAATAATGTAAATAACAGTAAATACAAATTCAAAATGTATCTTGCATGGTATGGGGTACAATGCAACGTAGCCTACATAAGAAAACAATGAAGATTTTCTTAAGCAAGCAAAGCAAAGCAAAGTTTATTTATATAGCACTTTTTACAACAGGTGTTGTCACAAAGCAGCTTTACAGAAAAATCAGCATTACAGAAAAAGAAAAACCCGGGTCCAAGCCCCCATGAGCATCGCCAGTGGCAACAGTGGCAAGGAAAAACTCCCTAAGAGCAGGAGGAAGAAACCTTGAGAGGAACCAAGACTCAAAAGGGGAACTCATCCTCCTCTGGTTGGCACCGGATAGCAAACATTGTTTAGACAATCTTAAGAAAATAATTGCGATTATCTTAAGATAATATTTCAGAACTTCCTAATTTTTTTTTGAGAATCCTTAAGAAAACTTTTGTGAATCTGGCCTCTGGAGGTCAATATGCAATTATACTGCTTCTAGACTCATATTTTAGATATTATAGTATGTCTTGCTGGCAAATACTAGAATTCATTTTTCCTATTCCTTTCTTTGTGTGTGTGAAATTTTCATGTTATTGTTTTTTATTAAAGAAACAAGTCATTTATTTGAAAGGAGTTTCCACTTTGTTACTCCATTGATAGCTTTTCCCATGTATTACTATAAAAGTTTAATAGGCCCTTTTCACAAGAAAAGGAAATACATAAACGGCAGGTAAAACAAATTCTGCTATTGCCTTACCGACAGTTATTATCCTCAGAAATACTGGTGCTCATATCATTATCACCTGCTCACCATGGGGAGGTATTTCACTCTGTCGTTGTTGCCAAGATTGAAATTCGTGAAGAGAAAATTAGTGAGGGAATGGTATTCATGAGTCACTATTAAGCCATGTTTGGCAGGCTGAAGATTCACCATATGGGGGAGCTATTGGCACTGAAATTGCTTATGTGAGCTTTATAGAAAGAGAGGAAACCCACACTAGCAGGATCTCATGAATGCCTGCTGATTGTAGTATCAAATTTCACATACGCAAAGTAAAATCAGAGACATTATGAAGGAGGAGGAGGTTGAAAAATTGAATGGAAAGCTTGCAATGCTAATCATGGTGTCTATTTACAGGGAAAGTAGCACCCTTCACAACACAACCCAGCTTGCTGGTAAAGCTGCAAGTGGTAAAAAAGCTCTTCCTCATTGTGGAGATATGTGCACGTGCAGAAGCCAGAACAATATGAAAAACTGATTTTTTGGTGTGTTATTTGAACCAAATGCTGCAACCTATTCATGGATTATTTTCAGATGTTATCAGTGATTTCAAATATGTATTTGGAATATTATTGAGGCTTTCAGTTTTGGATTTATAGGTATCTCTAAATTTATAGAAGTAGGAGCCTAGTATTGCATGACTGGAAATAACTGACCAGGGGCATTGCCAAGATGGCTCTCGAGTGGATGGATTACTGTGATTTTATCATGGGTAAGGGGTATTCTTAGGCCTTACATGAAGCAGCCTCAAGTGGCGTATTACAGAAGAATACAAATATGATAAATAATATAAAAATATGATAAATACAAACATTGTCAATACATTATTTAAGTTATATTTAATAATGCTTGCAATGAACAATTCTTCCACCAAGAAATGTAGTTTGTTTAGAGTATCCTATTGTTGCCCAGCAACTATGGATACTGAAGGAATATAAGAACTTTCATCTACCCCTCATTGAAAATTGCAGTCATTTTATGAAGTTTTTGGTCATATTATAATGAAAATAGCATAATGTAGCACTGCAGATTTATTCATCTTATGCATTTTTGATTACCAAATTATCACAGAAACAGCAACAGTAATTTCCACAAGTAACATATTCTTTACTTTTTTGTAGTTTTATAGTGAATCAGTAATTATATAAACTCAAATCTTATCACTGTATTTTCATGGAGGTGCAATTTAGCCTGTAATCCATCATTTGGCCTATATTTAAGTGGAGTTACATAAAATAAGTTGTCAGTCCCTCAGTTTAAGCAAAACAAAGGTTCTTACTTCATCAGTTTACTTGGTGGTCCATGGAAGCAGCAACTATTCATAGAAGAATGATTTTTTTGTGCATTAATACAAAATAGAAAACATATAGAAGCCACATTTTGGTATGCTGGCTTGATTACGTCAGCACCCTGCTGACTGTGCACCACTGTTGGTCCACCATCAGACCACCGAGATTGTTGTCCTGCATACAAGGTCTAACCAGTTTAATCTCCTTAAACAGATTTTAAATGCACACAGTCGTATTTTGGAAAAAACTAAGATAAATGTTACTGTAATGTTAGACCGACTAACCAGATGCTCGCAGGTGTAAAAGTTCAAAGAGTACTTGTTAACAAAGAGCGACTTAACCAAAGGAGTGTCTAAGCCAGGCCAGTTAAGAACTGTGAAGAGTAGAAATACAAACATGAGTGCTAACCAAAAAAAGAGGGTCAAGCACACGTGTGGGTCAAAGCCAAATCAGCAATCAGTCCGAGACAAACAACACCAAAAGTGGAATTTAAAGACACAAAATGAGAAATGAGAAAAAGGTCATAAATACAAGAAGATCAGACAAAGAAAAGAACGCCCAGTATGCAATGAATAAAGTTGGCAATAGTTCACAAAGAAACTCTACAGATTTTAGTATTTACACCCAGAGGATAATGAGAAGCAGCTGACAACAGTTCAATCTGGGAAGTGGCTCATGATCAGTTGGGTTCATGGTGTAAGAGTCCAGAGAATCATGGAAATTGTAGTGTGTGGATTTGATGGAGGCAGGGAAAAGACCTGGAGGCGTGACACTTACAAACAACTGAGAAAAAAATGATCTAATACCTAAAATTAATTACACTTTACACACAATTAATAAGTGTTCAGTTAAAATTATTTACTAAACTACTTCATAAAGCACTCCAAAAGACAGCAATGATGGAAAAATAAGGAAAAAGACCTGAGAATGGAAAATGAGTGTCTTTTTCTCAAATACTCTGCTTAACCACTAGTGGACTGCCCATAAAACATTGAGCAAAAGCCAGTGGGCCACTAGCTTTGCTGTCAGCGTGCCAACAGTTGCCCTCTATCCTCTTTTTAGCTGGGGAGGTGGTCATAGGTGTGCCTGTATCAAGTATTCTACAACAGCTTTGAACATGGCTAAACTAATCAGATTGGAATTATGAGTTTTATAATATAGAATGTTTTGATGTAAAGGAAAAACAGATTTTTTTCTACAGATAAAACTGTAAATTTCTGAAACATTCCATATACAAAAATCGACAGAACTGACCTCCATGTACTAAGAATTAGTGCTGTTATTGAATAGAATTTCCAGCTGAAGAGCTGAGTGGTGTACAGTGCTGCCTTTGTCCTTTACAAGGAGGTAAATATGGCATGTAAATATGTAAAGAGAAGCTTATTCATGATTGGTTGAGTTGAAAAAGGAAAACACCCCTTTTCTTGTGAGGAATCTTATCAGGAAGAGAACATCTACCATCAGATAATTCAGCTCTGCTTCACAGGTCGGTGAAAGGATACCCCAGTGTGTATGGTAAGTGTTGAAGAGAGTGGAGAGTAAAAGGTTGTGTGATGGACAGTGTAGAGTATGACCAATGGTCAGATTTCTTAAGACACTGAACGCTTACAGGAGTAGTTTGAGCAGTTTATACAGTGAACACTGTAAGATATTATGGATCCATGGAATGGTATGTTGCCTTATTTTTCTGTAAACATCACTGTTTTATACCTTGTTTATCTTGTATTATGTTTAACTGTAATTTATTTGCAATTTGTCTGCATTTATTTGAGAAAAGTAGAATTTGTTTATGTAATGCTTAGCACAGCAAACTTGGCAGCGTTGTAAAAAGCAGTTAACATGTTGTTGAACTGGCTTAGCATGTTTTTATTAACTGACTCCTTCCTCATTCTGAACCGTGTCCTTTTTCTCAGGCTTTTGCCACTGTGTTTTATCCTTGACCAACTTTATGTATGATGGGGCACTATATCCAAATAAAATGACTGGTGGGATGAAAGAGAGGGACATTAGCTTTGCAATGATTGACCCAGAGCTACTGGACCATGGCCTTGTCAGTGAGGTTGATGGGTGAGAAAAACTTGTTTTTCCTATTCTAGTCCTCATAGATTCATTTCAATGACATTATTTCATTTAATGTGATATTTGACGTGTTCATACGATTATCAACAAGGTTTTGAAATTAATAAACAAACTAAACAGTTTCCAGCTGAAAAGACCCAGTTCACCCGTACCCAGTGGCGTGTCTCTGAAGAGTGACAGGTCCATGAAAATGCCAATTAATTACAATGAAGAAGCCTTGCCACCAGAAGAAAGGTAAGAACTTGCCTCAAGAACATTTATGCATTATGTACCTCCATTAGTTTCAGCTTAAATTTGGTCTTTAAATCATACTCCATTCCTTAAAACTCTGATTATTGAATATTAAATCAATTAATAATACTTTTTATTATGGCAGTTTTCAGCTGAAAAGATCCAGTTCACCTGAGCCCAGTTATGTGTCTCTGAAGAGTGACAGGTCCATGAAAATGCCAATCAATTACAGTGAAGACCCAATGCCACCAGAAGAAAGGTAAGAACTGAATGTTTTTCCTTGGAGCTGAAGCTCAGCTTACTGATACCTTAAATCTTACTTCATCCCTTTTTAGTCCCAGTTAATAAATATTACAGGTTTGCTCAATTGCTTGTTTTTCTCCGTTGCTTACAAAGGACAGTGGGGCACAGACTAACGCAGGGTGCAATGTAATCAAACAGGTTGAAGTGGAATGTGCTTTTGGTCATGTTTTCAAATTCCCATTGTCATCTGCGAATTTTCACTGCAAACTGAGGATGTTTCTCCAGATTCACCTGTTGTTAGATCATAAAAGTAACTTTTTTCACACTAAGTGTTTTTTGATTACTGAATTGTGTGTATTAGCCACTTTTTTGAGCCATGTAAATAATTCACAGCATGAGGTAAAGTACAGCCTCCACGCAGCAAGTTAAGTTGTAACGCACAACTAATTACAACTAAGTCTCCAAAAGTAAAAATGAGAATAGTCCATATCCCCCAATATAAATTCTAAACAGCAGTGTTTCAAAAGTGTACTGAAGATTTTATGTAAACAAAATAGATTAAAATTTTTATCAGGCAGATAAAAATAAATGTATGTATTTAGGTTGGAAAGTTCATCTGTTTTAAACAATACAGAATTGTATTGAATTAACCCCTTAACACTGCATGTTTACTTCTTACTAAGGCTTATTATTCAGAGATCACAGGATCTTCAATGCAAACTCATGGAGCTATTCTTAGGTTATAGAAGTGTGTAATAAAAGCCAGTGGGCCCATGGCTTGTTAGGGGTAAATTGCGTTTTGCATTAATTTACCAGACATTTTAGCAACTGTTCCAATAAACCTCACCTACTCCAGCCACTTTTGGCTGAGTCATTCATAAACTGTTGTTCTTGGGAACAATGTTTATGTAGGTTGCTTGTATAGAGCAATATTGATATATATTAATAATAGAGCAATGTTAATAAATATTAATATTGTATGAATCAATATTAATATAATATTAATCATGTTCAATTACTTTTAAAATTATGAAGCAAAAACAAAAATGGAAGCATCTCTGCTCTAAAATGCCCAAAAACATTTCTCTAAAAATGAAAACCATTAAATGAAAATCTAAAATATACTTATCCTATAAATAACAGTAGACTGAGAAACTGAGAACAAAGTGGTCATTGTCAGTATGCTGTTGGCTTAGTTGTGTACATGTAGAGCATAGACAGGAAAAAGAAACTGCAGAGAATTGTTACAAATTTATTGAAAAAAGTACTTACTTTTAACCAAAAATGTTCAATTCGTGTGAATTTGAGTTGGTGTGAATCCAGGGATGTGAATCCGGGTTTTGTCTCTGGAACTCAATTCCTAGTCAATTCAGTCAAATTTCAGATTAGTCTCATTATTAGCTTCAGGCAGTGCCATTGTACAAAGGTAAACCCAAATAAACCCTGGTAGATTCAACCATTCTTCAAATAATGAGCTTTTGAATACAGAAAAATCTTTAGTCTGAAGGACAGAACAGAAAAGCTGCATGCAGTAATTGTGGTGTATAAAGAGAAAAAGGCAAACAGCTTGAAATAATTGGTAAGACTGTGGTTTATAAGTACATGCTACCTAACTAGCACAATAGCTAGTCCAGCTGACATTTTACAAAATTTTAAAGGAATTAGATCTGTAATTTACTAAAACCCCAACTGGATTAGCTGGCAAGTGCTGAAGGTATTTATAGCTACTGTGCTAGCTAGCATACTTGCTATTCAAACTACATGCTAGCCAGCTGTTTCAAGTTGTTTTCTTCTTTCTTTTAGACCTCAAATTTACTGCATGTAGTATTTTATTCTGTCCACCAGACTGAAGGTTTTTGTACAATGCAAGGCTTGGTATTTGAAGTTTTGTTGAACCTGATGCCACTGCGAGCTGTTTGAGAAAATGGCAATGTAGTGATGACTGTACACAACCTTAGCAAAACTGACAAGCAACTCATACACATAAGATCGGCAACAAAAGTTTTCTTTCATTTACCACATTAAGGTTTCTAGTTGTAGAAACAAGTTTTCTTCGTGTTTTTTTCTCAGACTGAAATTTCACACGTCGTAAGTCTGACTCGAGTCCTCATTTTTGCTTTACACTCTATTCGTTTTTTAAATGAAGAAAAACTCCAGAACCTTTAAGTGCTACAAAATATGAACCACTCTTTTGTAATGAGGGAGCAGACGTGGAGGCTGGAGTCAACAAGAAACCTGAGAATGCAGTCTCTGTCTTTATCCATAAAAACAAAATAGGAAGGGAACACTCAGTAGCATGCCTGAGGAAAACAAGTAAAACAGAAACAATGAACCAACAGTCAGACTAACAGAACTAATCCACACAAGTAATGATATTCCAGGACTAAAAGAAAGGCATGAGCTGGAACAGTGACAATGTCAGTGTGCAAAAACTACACATGAAAAATGTAATACCTAAAAAAAGTGTTTTATGAACAGTTCTCAGCTGAAACGACCCAGTTCCCCTGGACCCAGTGGTGTGTCTCTGAAGAGTGATAGGTCCATGAAAATGCCAATCAATTATAGTAGAGAACCTTTGCCACCAGAAGAAAGGTAAGAACTTATGTTCTTTCATTAGCCCATTTAATCTAATTCCAAATCTTTATTTTAAATTTAATTTTATCCTTAAATTTAATTAATTTAATTTTTCTGAATTTAGTGCTTGATGTAGAATAATGCAAAATACCACTAGTGGACTGCCCGTAAAACATTGTAAGGATTTAACACAGAGACACTTATTGCTACAAGGAACCAACTTGCAAAGCATGTTAATATAATTGATTTTACCTTGAAATTAGGTGTCTGGGTTTTGAATTAGACAATAATTGGGACAGAAAAAAAGACAGGAACTGGGACAAAGACAGTGGTGGGAACACATACATACAAAAACGCTTCAACAGTGAACAGGAAAAGAATGTGGAAGTTACAGGATCAGAAATCTATAATTTTGCAGGCCATAACAGGAAGATTTCAGGGAGCCCCTGCAACCTTCCAGGGCTACCAAGAGAATTAGGTAGTGATTGTATAACATCTGCATGTTATAAGCACATACAGGAGCAGAGACAGTGATTTGAAGAAGAAACATACATGGTGATTGGAACAAGGATGGAAAAAGTTGGGACGTTGCTGGAGACAAAAAGCAGGATAGAGATGGTGACAGGCAAAGGGGCAGGAACAGGAACACTCCCTGGGATGGGCACAAAAGCCAGATTAGGGAGTGGAGCTGAGTCAGGGATTGGAGCTGGCCTAGCATGAGGTTCTAGGTCAAAGCGGGCCAAGGGGCTGATACTGGAGCCGTCCAAGGGCCTGAATTAGCTAGGGGAATTGTCTCAACCTAGTGTGAAGTGTTTGCTGTTGTTGAACATGTGGATCTTTTGCTTGGGGTTGAATAAGACTGTTGCACAGAGTTTCAAAGAAAACAAGAAGAACTGATAGCATTCTTTGGTCCAAGTAAAGCTTAGTGATATAAGAATCCATGCGTACTGATGGCAGTGCAGATGCTAACCAGGGACATCCCCTTAATGAAGTTTTCATCCTACTGTTCCCCGTCTTCCTCTTTCTGCTCATGCTCCAGCTTGCTCCACTGCACAGTGTTTAACAAAGCAGGCTGTTGAAATTTTTTTGTGTTTGTTTTTTTTTGTGATTTATTTTCCTGTTTCTTCTCGGAAGCTTGCTGGCTGAATGTTGCCTGGCAGGTTTACATTTTTTCTCTTGTTGCTTGAACACTTTTGTCTGTTCAGAGGTGACAGCTAACACACAAGACCAAACAGAGGCTTGCTGACAAAATAATGACTTTTCTTTGCAAAATGGTCCACCTTCCACAAAACACTAAACACATGACACAAAAGCTTTTCCATACATCACAACTGACTAAATCCCTTCAATCACTCACTAAACAACAATAAAAAAACACAAAATACACTTTCAGGTTTCAGCCTTCATTAGTGCTGTATGTCTAATGTTTTATCTGCTGATAGTTTCCTGCAAACAGTTTTAGAATGTGCTAAAGTATAATTATATCACAGTGTGGAACTGTGTTGAAATGCATGCATCTCAGTAGGTAGGTCTGTTGTTTTAAAATCAGTTTTATAAAATAGAAAGTTCTGGTCCTAAAATCTAAATGGCAGATCCATGTTCAAAGTCATCAGAAAATAAACAATATACACATTTAAGGCCATCTGAACTCTGTTTTACTGTGCCACCTCACAAAAACTTTTTTTTAAACTGAGGGGCTGACAACTTATTTTCTTAACTAGAACTAGGAGATTCAATTAGCTAACAAGCTAAAGCTACATTAATATCACAGGCTTGAATTAAAGTACTTATGAAATGATTCACTGTAAAACTGCAATATAAAGACTAAAGAATGTCGCTTGAATGTCTTACATGCTTTGTCAGATCTGTCTTAAGAGGCATCAAACCAAGGCTGAACCTCAAACAACTCCCTAATCCCTAAATAGCATGCTATGGAAGTTTTAAAATACTAGCTTCTATAGCCAAATAGTGCAAGTTGACCTCAGTTTTGTTAAATATATTTTAGCAATAGAGAAAAACTGCAAATAATTTAAACAAACAGTTTTGGGTGGCTAATCTATGTAAAGGAAAATCAGAGGAGTAGCTAGAACTTTTAGAAGCCATGCATACATTTTAGACTCCAGTCTATCTTTGCCGAATGTTGTTTTCCATGGGAAATTACATTTTTCTTACTTTCCTCACACTATCACTGCAAATGAAATATAGAACTGCAGAGTTTGTTGAGGTGCAGTCAGAGTTCTGTCAGTGATTTCCAAATGTATGCATTTTCCATCTTAATCTACCCAAAAGATGGCAAAACGTCTATAATTAAATTAGTGCTAAAAGTTTGTGTGTTTTGCAAAAAATACTTAAGAATTTTGTGATGAAAATGGAAAATGTTTTGTGCCGTTGACATTCAATAGGCAAAAGAATGCTTCATGCTTAGTTTGTGACATCAATGTGTAAATGATCAAGAAAAGTGTAATACATTAATAACACAGTGTTTTCTGGACAGTTCTCAGCTGAAAAGATCCAGTTCACCTGTACCCAGCGGTGTGTCTCTGAAGAGTGACAGGTCCATGAAAATGCCAATCAATTACAGTGGAGAACCTTTACCACAAAAAGAAAGGTATGGACTTAGTTTAAGAACATTTATGCCTCATTAGCCCTGAACCTAATCCTAAACTTTAATCTTATCCTCTGAAACTAATGCTAAGATTAAACCTTGCCCTTAAATCTAAAATTCTCCAGAACAGTGGTCACTGAGCCTGGTCCTGGAGGTCTACCAACATGCAGAGTCTTGTTCCAACCCTAATCTGTCACACCTGGTCCAGCTAATTAACTTCTTCATAAGTGCTTGATTGACTGAATCAGATGCCTAGTAGATGCAGGTTGGAATTAAACTATGCAGGAAAGTCTCCAGGAGATGGGTTGTTGATCACTGTTCAAGAATGAACTCCCTAAATGAACAAAAACGTTTTAGACTAGAGCGAAACTTTGCACATTCATGCTTCCGAGGCAGCTTTGCATTCGTTGGATTCCATTCATCATTCACGGAAAGACGTGTTGAAATGATGATTTTGGTCCTGTCAATCCTTTTGTTCAGATATTTTTATAAATTGCACCGTATTTTCACTGTAATCATTAAAATGTCAAAACTCAACAGAAATGTTTATTTCAGTGTATTTTGTTTCCACGTATCCACTTGAGTTCAATTGTATTTTGTTAAAGTGCAAATTCATCAAAGGTTTTAACTCAGTAAAATCTATCATGTATGACTTAAAACATAATTTCCTGTAGAATCTATTTAGTGTATCATCACTGTCAAAACAAAAGCCTAGATCTCATTTTTTGATTATTGACATAATTTCAAAATGCTAGCTTCCTTTTTATTGTGTGAATGTTTGTTGATGAATGGGCCAATAGAAATAATCTAAAATTACTATAGAATAAAGTACTATAGAATAAAATCTCTTTACATTAACTTAAATTACATTTTTCTTTCTCCTGTAAAAGTTGGCAAAAGGTACCATTTTAGAGATACAAGGTTTAGACCTGACAGCAAAGGTATTCCTAGTATATCTACTTCATTTGCAATAAGGACAACATTCCCACAAATGTCATATATTCCCCGAGATCTTTTTAGCTAACACAGTTTTGAGGCTAATTCTTACAATAAATTGGTTTTCTAAAAATCACTTTTTTGTTTGTTTTTTTGTATTTTCATATTTTTTTTCATACATTCAGTACCAAAAAATTCAGTTTTGGAAACATGCATTTATGAAATTTTACATTTTCATTTGTAGCCCTGTTCTGAAGGATGTTACACAAGGATTTCACAATATATTGGGAAAAGATGGATTTATAAGATTTTTTATTGAAATTATCTTAAAATGCATTTTCAATAACAGTGTGTGAGATTCCAGCCTAAATTATTAAAGCATTTCTCTAAACAATGTTTAATTCTACACTATTTTAATTCTAACATCAGAGGACTAGATTTTTTTCAAAGCGTGCAAGTATTTATGTTTGCTTAGATAATGTCTCATTTGCACATCTAAAAATAATTTCTTGGAAAGCTTCAAATACAAAAAAATAAAAAATCTTGGGGGAACATCAGTAATGGATTGGAACTATAATACCTGTTAAACAAAAACTCACAATAAAGAAGAAAAAAAGAAAATCAAATTTGTCCGTAGTGCCTTGCTTTAAGATTCATATCAATTTCTCTTATTATTAATTATTACACACACATTCTTAGCTTACATTTCACACCACACCATTTAACATTAATAGATTAACAATGTATGCTTTTATGACAGTTTTCAGCCGGAAAGACCCAGTTCACCTGTACCCAGTGGTGTGTCTCTGAAAAGTGAAAGGTCCATGAAAATGCCAATCAATTACTGTGAAGAACATTTACTACCACAAGAAAGAGCTTACTGCCACCTTAAATCTCCCTTTTAGCTCTAAATTTTCTATTCGCTATTAATAAAATAATAATGTAATGTCTTATGACAGTTTGCAGAAGAAAAGAACCTGTTCACTTGTACCCAGGGGTGTGTCTGTAAAGACTGATAGGCCAATGGAAATGCCAATCAACTATAGTGAAGAACGTTTAACACCAACAGAGAGGTAAGGAAAAAAAGAAGTATATCTAATGGTCTGCCATTTGTTCTGTGCATCAGAATACTGTGACCTTAAATCTTGCATAATTCCTTTTACATCCCATTGGTTTATTAAATTTCAATGTATCTATAATATAGAAGATTTTTATGTTTTCTGCTGAGGGAATTCGAACCTTCTATGCCCTTTTCACATCACAAACTTATGTTTTACCATGTTGTTGTTGGTATTTTCATTTCCATACCATTTAATTCACTTTTGTCAGTGAAACACAGCATTTGTAGACTTCTAGACCAAGACAGCCCATAAAGGATGATACTCTAAACTTTGGTGTAAACACTGGAGAAGAACTGTAATGAAGTAAACACATGCTATGTTTCAATACCTAGTAAGCTGCCTCACTGACTCAGAAGTCAGTCTTCCAAGGCAGTATTTTAACAAACATAGAGCTTTAAAAGTGCTTGATTGTTGAGACAATTTAGAGAATAATCACACCAGATGTCAACAGCAACGCAGCAATCTAGACAATCTTGTCTAATAGCTTATGCTAAAGGCTCCAATGTGAGGTGAGCATAAACAGCAAGGGAGAGAGAGGGAAGCCCTGAATGGTGCCTCTGCACAGAGAAAATAAGGAGACATGACCACATTCATGACCACGGCTACCTCAGGCCATTCTATTCTGTCAAATCTCTTATCAGCATTTGAAGAGAGTGCTTCAATAGGCGATTATTCATTACAAACCTCCCAAACAATATTATTCAAACATCTAATGTTATCTGAAGAACTGAATACACAAACAAAGCCCACTTGGTCCTGATGCACGAGATAAGGCAAAACCCAGTCCAGTTGTTTTGAGACCTTTGATAGTATCTTTCTATCAAAACTGATAAGCAAGTTTGGTCTGTAGCTTGGGCCATTGGTGGGATCCTTGTTTGGTTAAGGCAGGGGTCTGCAACATGTGGCTTTTACTGTCCTGTTGCAGCTCCACAGCAGAATTAGATTTTTAGGCAAAAATAAAATAATCCTCCTTTACAGTAAAATAAAGCTCTGCTGATCATTCAAACACAGTTTTAACAATAAATGGTCTTAAACGCTGGATTTAATGCATATCTGCTTTAACCCTGAAGATGGACATGCAGACAACAGTCTCACCTAACCAGCAGCTAATGAAAGGGCAAAGAGAACGATTAAGACAAACATCAATGATTTAGAGATGAGTGGATTTATTTGCATTTATAATCACTCCAGCTGATTTCCTGATACGTTTATCTGCAAAAAACTGTCAAACACTAAAAAGTCTGAAGTCAGTTTCTTGTACGCCAACTTTTTGTTCAAATTTTCCTGTTCCACCTTAAATGGTGCAGCAGTTACATTCTGGCACCTCAGTCAACATCTAAGGTGGAACAAGAAAATTCAAAAAAGAAGTTGGTGAATAAGAAGCTGACTTCACTTGATGTTGAGAGACATTTTACAAAAAACTATACTACTTTTGCATAAAAGTTTCCTGCCAGAGATGCAAAAAAAGCAGCTATAGCTGAGTTAAAGCTTAAAGCAGAGCAAAATAAGTCTGTTTTCATTCATATATATGGTTTTTTGCCTATACTAGGACATTAGCACCAGCTGAAACATATTTACAGCCAATATGGTAAAATGTTACTTCAATAAAACAGACATAAAATGGTGTGGCTCCCAAGGTGGATTGATTTTTGTTGAAAGGACAAAATGGCTCTTCTTAATATTTGGCTTGCCGACCCCTGGGTTAAGGAATGGGAGAGATGTAGCCTAGTTATACAGTTTAAAGGGAAAAGCCATAGTTTTTGGAGTTTTCATTTAAATCAAGCAGGACGGGTAGAATCTCCTTGGCGTAATATTTAGAAAGTTCAGCTTTGAAGTGTTTTAGGCCATACAGCTGATGTTTAATCACCTCAGCTAACAGGAACACTAGGGTTTTCAACAATGTTTTATGTTTGTAAAGACTGCCAAGTATGTAACTAGAAAGGAAGCAAGAAAGTTACAGATTAACTCAATGAGTCCTACACTCAAAAATAAAAGTGGCAATGGTGCAAGGTTGGACAATAGTTCTGTATTTGAAACAAAATTGGCAAAAAAAACTACTTGAGTAAAAGTACAAGTGTTCAATCTATATTTTTACTTAAAGTGCACAATTTCTTGTTTGTTAATGTGCCATGGATTTTTAATAGTTTAGGGTATTTAACCCACACCGGGGTCTACAAGTCTTACTAACTAGGGTCTTTTTTTAAAAAATACTGTCTACATAGACAACTCAGTATTGGGACATAGCTGTCATGAGATTAGTAGACATTTTTACCTTCGATTGAAATGATACCTAACATCGTACAAAATGTTGTATTATTTTACAGATTTGACACCCTGAAGGCACAGAGCAAAACACTGAAATTAATCTTTAGAGAGAGATATCAGCATTTATTTGAGGGAACAGCACAACAGGGAAACCCAGTACCTCTTAATGAGATCTACACAGAGCTCTACATTGTGGAAAGCATGAATGAAGCTCACAGCTGTCGCCATGGTGCAAGCCATTTTGAAGTAGCACTGAAAAGAGTAAAGGGGGGCACACGAATCAAATGCAATGATATCTTCAATCCTACACCTGGACATGACAAGCCCATCAAGACTGTACTGACAAAGGGAGTGGCTGGCATTGGAAAAACTGTCTCTGTGCAGAAGTTTGTTCTGGACTGGGCAGAAGGCAAAGCAAATCAGGATGTCCATTTCATATTTCCACTCTCTTTCAGGGAGCTAAATTTGATGAGGGACCAAAAATACAGTCTGAATGACCTTCTTCAGCATTTTTTCATGAAAGGAATCGATGCAAGTTCACCCCAATTTACAAACCATTCTCTTCTTATCATTTTTGATGGTCTGGATGAGTGTCGCCTTCCTTTAGATTTTCAGAACAATGAGAGTTTATGGGATGCAACGAAGACAACCACAGTAGATACCCTGTTAACAAACCTCATCAAGGGGAATCTGCTTCCCTCTGCACAAATCTGGATAACCTCTCGACCAGCGGCAGCTGAACAGATCCCCACTGAATGTGTTGATCGAGTAACAGAGGTACGAGGATTCAATGATCCACAGAAGGAAGATTACTTTAGGAAGAGAATCACTGATCAGAGCCTGGCCAACAGAATCATTACCCACCTGAAGTCACTGAGGAGCCTCTATCTCATGTGCCACATTCCAGTCTTCTGTTGGATTGCAGCCACTGTTTTAGAGAGAATGGTGGTGGACTGTGGTTGGGATAACATACCAAAGAGTTTAACTGAGATGTATACGTACTTCCTGATCACACAGATCAACACTAAAAAAGCAAAGTACTCTGACAACAAAGTCACAGATAAAGAAGTGATCTTCAAGCTTGGTAAGCTCGCCTTTGAGCAGCTTGAAAAAGGCAATCTGATCTTCTATGAGGAAGACCTGAAAGAATGTGGCATTGACATCAGAGAAGCATCGGTGTACTCTGGAGTCTTCACACAGATTTTCAGAGAGGAGTTTGGACTTTTCCAGAGGAAAGTATTCAGCTTTGTGCATCTGAGCATTCAGGAACACCTTGCAGCTCTGTATGTGTTCTTGTCCTTCCACAATCACAAGCAAGATGTGCTCAATTCACACTCCCGTGAATCTAACCAACCTTTAACAATATTAAGTTTGCTCCAGCAAGCAGTTCATAAAGCCTCTATGAGTGAGAGTGGTCATCTGGATCTCTTCCTTCGTTTTCTCATGGGCTTCTCACTAGAGTCCAACCAGAACCTCCTTCAAGACCTTCTGGTACAGGGAAGCAGCAATCCTGAGGTTGTAACAGAAGCCATTAGCTATCTGAAGAAACAAATTCAAGGGACCTGCTGTTCTTATATGTTTCTCAAATGCTTCCATTGTCTCAATGAGCTTAATGACAGCTCTCTTGTAGATGAAGTCCAAACCTTCCTGAGGAACAGAAACCTAAATGAGGACAACCTATCTCCTGAACTTTGGTCAGCATTAGTATTCATCATAGTTACGTCAGATGAGAACTTGGATGTGTTTGAACTTAATAAATATGGCACCTCAGATGAAGCTCTTGTCAACTTGTTGGCTTTAATCAAGATGTCTAAGACAGCCAGGTAAGTCTTTTTTTAATGCAGAAGTACATTATTTCTGTAATATTCACTTTTGACTTGAATATAAAGCCATTTAAAATCATTACAATCTTTAACATTTGAGATATTTTTGACATGACATTGAAAGCAAAATCACACCTAAAATAGATGTATTATCTGTAACAAAAAAAAATAATAAAAAAAAGCATAATGGAACACATTTCACATGGTCAACTATTTTGCAATGGAAACATTCTCCTTTATTAACATCCTGTTTACTTAGAAAACTTTTTAGTAATTTGAACATGTATGGCAAATTCTACACCAAGTCAATGTGTGTTTATAACTTGTGAGATGCTTTTTTCCAAGTTTGCTATCATTTTCTTGCACCTTATTTCTGTTTCTCACAAGTAGTGTTTATTGGAATATTGGCTATTACTATTTGGGTGACCAAGTAGTGTGATTTGGGTTCAGTGTGTTGATTTATAGTGCTGTCCAATCGGTTTGGAGACATTTTATTATACATCATTGTACAGGGTCCTTTATGCTTTAATTTAAACTTTAATATATAACTACCAGTTGAGGCATAAGGGTAAAACAAAGCAGAGAAATCACTTATATCAGTATTTTAAACTCCACAAACTGTTTCCTGCTGTGCCATAAAAACAAATGCATCTTAAAGAAAATATCTTAATGATGTTAATGTCTGCCATCAATATGTGTTCCTAGGTTTTAAAATTACAGTGGTGAACTGTATTGTATTTATTCTGCCAGGCTCAATAACTGTAACATCACAGTGAAAGGCTGTGCAGCACTAGCTACAGCTCTTCCCATCATGAAAGCCACAAAGGAGCTGGATCTTAGTCACAACAATGTGCAAGATGCTGGCGTGAAGGTGCTCTGTACTGGAATCCAAGGCGACACTATGGAAGAAAAATTGTAGGTTTTTCATTTTGTCAATATACATATATGGACTAAACTTGGGTTATTAATGCTGCTTTTACCAACTCATTAAGTAGTGGCTAAAATCATGCATCCAAATAGAAATGTAAATAGAAATTACTCGGAAAGCTTTACAAAATACTACTTAACCTGCGCTGACCTTAAGCTGTAAAAGTTTTTGTTTTTGTTTTTTTTCTTGCAGGTTGAATTGCTCTGGTATTACAGAAGAAAGTGGTTTAAACCCTTTGTGTAAGAGAGAGCAGGTCCTGGTGTGGGATAGCATGACAAAATTGCTTTACCGTTTCATGGACTCATTAAATCAGAAACATGCCATAAAGGAATTCCCAGGACTGCAGGGCACAGAGTGTAACATCGAGATCCTAAGGTAAATTAACAGAATTCACATGTGTTTTCAAATCCACAAATATTAAAGCTGCTGTATAGAACGTTAGCTCTTTCTAGCTTCTGCCGGGCTTAGCCACGGACAGAGTCCAGAGCTTCGATTCCTTTTGATTTATAGCCTCCCTTTGACAGGCAGGGAGAAACTTTTTGGAGACGTTTTCTGAAAGTTCAGGACAGTCACAGAGACATTTTTTCTCAGGGCATCTTTTTAGTACAGGCCACATGTAACTACAATGAAACTAAAATATAAGTTTGGTAGTTATGAAAGTGAACACTGGAATCTAGAACTGCAAATGCAACCTGGATATTTAAGGGGTTAAATGAAGAGGTTCACAATTTCCAACTGTCCAAAATGTAATTTTATAATTTATTCTAAAAAGAATATCCTGTAAAATAACAAGTATAAGCTGCAATTCAAATCTTTACAACATTGACTTTCTTTAATATAATTGTGTGCTATCTTTCCTGCAGGTTTAATAACTGTGGTGTTACGAGTGTAGGGTGTGGTTTTCTAGCTCTTGTCCTGAATTCAAACTCCTCAAACCTGAAGGAGATTGACCTGAGCCAGAATGACATTGAAGACTCAGGAGTGAAAGTGCTTTCTGATGCATTAAAGAAGGCTTCATGTAAACTGAGCACTCTAAAGTGAGTTTCAATGAAGGAACTTTACTAAATGAGATAAATTGATACTGTCTATTAATATCCTAATTGTAATGCAATGTTCTACACTTACCTGGTAAAGCACAATGTATTTTATGGTCTTTTAGGCTAATTGAGTGTGGCATCACAGAGAAAAGCTGTGCAACTCTGGTCTCAGTTCTCAGCTCTGAGTCCTCATGTCTGAGAGAGCTGGACCTAAGTCTTAATGACCTGAAAGATTCAGGAGCGAAGCTGCTGTCTGTTGGAGTGGGAAACCCACACTGTAAACTACAAAATCTTACGTAAGACTATTGAAATATCTTCATTTTTAATAATACTTGTCCACCAAATATATTACAAGACAGCACATTAACAGGGTGGCATTTATCAATCTAACATCCTTGTGTTAAAGTGATTTGAGACTAAAATCAATGTTTTAATGCTGTTTGATGTTTCACTTCATTTATATAGTAAATAATATACACAAGGGTACCAAATTGTAGAAAAAGAAAAAAATAAAGAAATATAAGTGCAGATGCTTCCAGAGAGGTGTACTGTATGATACATTTAAGCAATTAACATAAAGAACATATAAAATGAGGAACGGGCCCTAGACTTTAATGTTGGATCTAGATGTCTAGTGACCGAAGTAACATCTGCATCTAGATTTAGAGGAAAAACATCAGTAAATAAGGTTGGAAATTGTGGTCAGAAGTGCACATTCAGAGAGTGTGATGCTTTTGCATTGGTACAGTATGCAGAGGAGCAACTGTTCCTCAGGTGACTGAAAATGTCAGTGAAGGATGTGATCAGCTTTATTCACCTTATTACAACACTGAATGTTCTTCTTTCTTTTGATTTGTCACCCAACATGTGTAAGATTTAAGATGTCTAAGATATATTATAAGGATGTACATTACTGAGTATAAAACCTGAATCATACTAAAAATACTGATGAGATAACAAAACATTACATTTTTATAGGCTGTACAACTGCAACATTGCCGAAGAAGGCTATGCTGCTCTGACTGAAGCTCTGCAATCAAGTCCCTCACTTCAGATACAGTATTGTCTAAAGGACAATGAGGCCAGAGACTCCAGAATGCAGGGGCTGTCTGATACAGCATAGTTCATAAATCAGGCTCAATCAGCAAAGTGCAATACTTCAGATGTTTTACAGCTCTGGAAATCCATTCTTAAGCTAATGTACAGATAAAACAGACCTGTCCAGATATTATCAGTCATTTTACAACAACATTACACTTATTTTACCTGAGCAACAGATTACTGTTTGCAAAAGTTTTCTTTTCTTTATTTTTTTTTTACAAAGATTTCCAGTTAGTATTAGTGTGTTGTAATATCCTTTATATTGTCCATGTTCATTCACCTTTGTATTCCGTGCAGGGCTCAGAAACAGGATTACAACTACTAGAATGCTTTAATGTTTCCAGTCTTGCATTCAACACCCACATATCAGTCCTTAACCATTTAGACCATTTAATTCTCTTCTTTTTATATAAGCTGTAAATAACATATCTGTTTGCAAAGTTGTTGCAAATAGTTGCTTAAATTGATCTCTTTCTGTTGTTAAACTGCATCTGTGAAGCAAAGCAAAACAATTACACACATGTTCATTTTATGTATTGTTGTGTTTGAGAAATCAACTACCAAATTAGCTAAATGTTAGTTGAATAAATGATACACTGAATGACATTTCTGTCATTAAATGATTGCATTTGAAGCCTTGATTCTGCATTCAAAAAGAGAACATTTATCACTGTTTCTGAAAACTCTAAGCTTGTTTATACCCTTGTCTATTTGTTTAATACTGTCTTCAGCATTGTTCTTTGTCTGGAATTAAAAATTAAATATTGATGTTCCTTTTACTATTTCTATTGAATTTACATATTTACAAAAGTATTTTTCTACTGAAATTTCATTATCAAAAATGTGGATCCATATTTTACAGGCTGAATTCAAATTCTGGTGTCCTTGTACTGAATGATAACATTTATCTTCTAGAATTTAAACATAATTGATTTTTTGTTGAGTAGATTTCCTCCTTCATCCCTGAAACACCTGGAGGCTTTTTTTCATAAAGAATGATCCACTGCACATGCAGTTCTGGCCATATAAAAAATAAGATATATAAAATGCACAGTATCTTCATGAATAAATGGAAATATGCACATTTTTATCATTAGAATATATTAATAGATGTTTAAAACTATTAACTATATTAACCACAATTTTCTCAACTTGCAGGAAGTGATTTTAAAGAAGTGAAACAAACTAAGACATGGACATTATCAATGGTCCCTTTCCTAATATTTTGTTGCAGCAGTGATGGCCTCCAAATGTTTTTGGTAGCCATCTACAAGCTTCTTGCACCTGTCTGCTGGTAGTTTTTCCTACTCCTCTATCGCAAACTATTCAAGCTTAGATATTTGCATGGTATCTCTTCCCTATGGCAGATTTCAGGTCTCTTCAAAGATCTTCAGTGGGGTTTAGATCAGGTCTCATTTCTGGCCAGTGTAAAACAGTCCACTACTTCCTTTGAAACCATTCTGTTCTACTTTTTGATGTGTGCCTTGGGTCCTTATCATGCTGGGGGACCCATGATCCTCTACCCACACCTGGCTTCCTTACACTAGAAAGCACATTTCCCTCTAAAACACCATGTTTGACTGTAGGTAGGGTGTTCTTTTGCTTATAAGCTTCATTTTGTCTCCTATAAATAAATTACTGGTCTGCATTGCCAAAGAGCTCTATTTTTGTTTTATCTGTCCACAAAGCATTTGCCCAGAAGGATTCTGGTTTGTCTAGATACATTTTGAAAAAAGATCAGTTGTGCCTTCTTATGTCTTTCTTTCAATAGGGTCTTCCTTGGCCTTCACCCATGAAGTCCTTTTTGGTTTAACAAGCCTGCCGGCCAGCCCATAGTTTTATTACACACTTCTATAACCTAAGAATAGCTCCATTAGTTTACACTGAAGTCCCTTTAATAAGCTTGGATTGTTAAGGGGTCAACTTAAAGCATATGGTACGGGTTGAAACCATCAATCCAGACTGCTCCAGGCCTGCCTTTAGCTCTTTGGATGTTACACGTTTTTTTTTTTTTTTTCCCCACAGTTTGTGCCAACCTTGGAAGACTTTTCTCACTGATTTTCCTCTTTGACCCTAAGAGGTTCTTGACAGTTCCATTAGCAATAAACTTCTTAATGACATTAGGCACTGTTGAAACAGAGATATCAGGAACTTTGGAGGTGGCCTTATACATTTTACCATTCTTGTGTTTGAAGATAATAGCACTTCTGATGCTCTCAGATAGCTTTCTTGTTTTCAGCATTGTGAAATGGGAACAGGGAAAGTGTTTTTTTTTTTTATAGGCATTAAAGCCATCATTCATTGGTTAATTCAAGTTATATGAGCCCTTTATTTATCACAGGTGATTCTAATTTCTAATTTATCAAAGGTTAGTCTAAACTAGTCTAACCAGATTAGAAATCTTTAGCAAAGGGTATCATGTATCAATAACTGTGTCATGTATATATTTCCTTTTTTGTACTTTTTCCTTACATGACTTTTTTAAAATTGTGTTTTAGTAAAATAATGCTCCTTAGCTGTTGTTTATTGAACAGTAGCTTTTTTGGGGCCAAAGATGAGTTTTATAAATAATATATATATATATATATATATATATATATATACATATATATATATATATACATATATATATATATATATATATATATATATATATATATATATATTATATATATATGGTTTAAGGAGCTGTAAAGCATCTATAGGGGAACATCCAAATAAACTGTAACCAAGACTTTGCAGTGCAACGTAGGGCCCAGAAAAATGAAAAGCATAGATATAGTTTAACACAAAGTGCTGGACTGTTCTGAAGTGGTCATCAGTGAGTCCAGATCTCCAATTCCAATACAACACCTGTGGAATAATTTCAAAGTGGTAGTTGGGAAAAGCACCCCTCAAATCTGGAGGATCTGGCATAGCAAAAGATGAGTGGCCCAAAATAACAGTAAAGACGAGAAAGAAACTCATTCTGGGCTTCAAGAAGCACTGGATTTCACTTATTCTTTTCAAAGGGTTTGATACACTAATGTGTGTGTGTGTGTGTGTGTGTGTGTGTGTGTGTGCATGTGTGTGTGTGTGTTCCAGGATCAAGCCACACTGTGGGGACCAAAACCTGTTTATACATATTATGAAGACCCTTCTTTCTTGTGGAGACCACAAGCTGGTCCTCACAGCATAAATCATTAAATTTTAAGGTGAAGACAGGTTAAGGTTAGGGTTAGCGTTAGGGTTAAGGTAAAGGCTTGGCTAGTAGTTATGGTTAAGATTTAGGTTAAGTCTTCAGGAAATTAATGGAAGTGGAAGATGGAAGACATAACAGTACTTTTGTGGTTCATAGTTTGCATATAATTAGTAAATATGTGAAAAGTATCAGGTATATACAACAGAGCTTAGAATTTAATGGTAAATATTTACAAAAGTTTAATATGTAACAATAAGTAACTAATGTGAAAAATACCAGATGTATTTCAGCTTTTAATGATTCAGCATTTCAGTAAATACTTATATATGTAATAGAAATGTACAGAGCAAAATTGAGGAAGAACCTTAATTCCAGTACAGTAATTGATCCATATTATTGGTATAATCACTGGTCCTCTGTTATACCATGGAAAAAGGACTATAAAATAACGTGTAAATTTGTTCATAGTAATTTTATAGTAATATTTATAGTAATTTTATATATGTTAATAGTAATTACACAGTAACTTCCTATTATCTCTTTGTAATCATATGTAGATATTTACCAGATATTCTACTAGGTACATAGTGTAAGGTTCTCTGTGATATGATGGAAACTTCACTGTAAAATAAATTTCACTTTGTACATAGAAATTAGACAGTAATGACCTTTCTTATCATTATTATATCCATATAACAAGACATACTGAATGCAGAGTGTAACCATACATAGCGTTCATCTATCTATCTGTCTATCTATCTATCTAGAACCATAAATAATGCTATAGATGTGATCTAGGTAAACCCCTCGCATGGCCATGGGCCCACTAATGGGCCCAAGTTTTATCCTTAGCATGTAATAAGCCTGGGAAGGGGTTAAAGCACAGCAGTGGTAAGTGATGTCTCTGTTGCTGTGTGAAATATGGAAGAATAAAGCAAAAACAACACAGATGACAAAAATGGAAATCTACAAAGCAGTGAACTACAACACACAGCTAACTGGAATTTAGAGTTCAGGTTTGACCCACAGACAAGATAACAAACAAAATTCCCAACTACCTGGTAACAAGGATACAGGAGTGGCTAACTTATACAATCAAAACAACAACAAACAAAAGACACAGAACCTTCCTTTTGTCTCTGATTACCAAACACACACTGAAGAATCCAAAAGGGCAGAGTGAAAAGCACGGCAGAAAAAATGATAGATAGATGTGTAAATACTCTGTACAACATTAGACTTTATATTACAGTCCAGTTTCCATAATATTACAGAGACCTTACTAGTAAACATACCATAATGTACTGTATTGTATATCTCACATTCTTTAGCCTGTACTTATATATTAAACCTGAAAAGTATGCACCGAGTGTTTAGTACTTGTAAAGACCACAAATTTATAAGTTAACTTTGTGTAAGTAGTGCTGTAAATGTCTGGCATGTACAGGCAAAGTATGTACCTGAAAAATACTTGTAGTTCTACATATTTACCTAAATGACATGTTTTGTTGATTTGGAAAAAATGTAAAAAATAAGCTAACATATTCTCTACAGAGAACACACTGAAATATGACAGTTTTCTGTATGTTTGGTGCCCAATTTCTATTTGTTTTCAGAGTTTAACATATTGGAAAAATATAAAAAGTTTTGCTCATGCCATATTTTATGTGATTATCCCCAGAATTCAGCAAATAAACAGTATCTGTGCATGAAAATGTACGTAAATGTCTTCCCTATAAAGGATGTGTCAACCCCTTAAATGGCCCAAACTTTTGTTACACACTTCTACAACATCTATAAGAATAGCTCAGCCAGTTTGCACTGAAGTCCCTGTAGTTACTGAATAATAAGTCTTAGTATATAATAAGCCTGGGATATTATTTTTGATACTGGACCACCTTTACTTTTCAGTAATGCTTTAATGGCATGAATTTGTTAATATATGCAAATATGTTATAAAGCACATGGCTTTTCTGAGTAATGTAAAATGTACTGTAAGGAAGTAATAAACATGTGCAAATGCATTCTTTCTCTTTACTGGCACAGTTAAAAAAGTTCACACCCCTTTTTGAGGCCAGAATCTTACCAGGAAGAAAATATCAACAATCAGATAACTCAACTCCATTTCATGAGTCACTGTGGAGAGGAAAGGCTGCTGAATATGGTGAGTATTAGAGTTTGTGGAGTGAGATGAATGTGTGATGGACTGTGTGCAGTAAGATCAATGGTCAGAGCTAACGCTGATATGCAAGACACTAAAAGCAGCAGTAGTTTGAGCAGTAGTTTGAGCAGCTTATGAAGTGGTTGACCATATGTATGATCCATTGGTTGCTATGTTGTTCAGTTTATACATGAAAGTACCTTTGATAAAAACCAATTATGCAGTGTATTTATTTGATAAAAGTACAATCTAGTAATGTAATATGCGTGAATGTACTTGACAGAAGTGCAGTGCACAAGCACAATGTTTAAGAAACTTTGTCAGTGTTGTATAATGCAGTTGCTGAACAGGTTAAGTGGGTTTTTGATACATGACTCCTTCCTCATTCTTCATTGTTTTTTTTTCTCCCTCAGGCTTTGGCAAGTACCTGTATGTCTATGCTGCTCAGTTCATAAAGGCGCACCATATCTAAGTTAATTATTTCTACTGGGTAGAAAGAAAAGGATATTTGTTCCACAATGAGCAAACTGAAGAAACAGAACTACAGCACTGGCAGTGGAGTCAATGGGTGAGAAAAACTTGTTTCTCTGAAACAACAAGACATTACAATGCAATCTTCAATTAAACAATGAAGTCAGTCAGATCTTAATAGTTTGATTAGTTATTTTGTTTTTTTGTGATCTGTGTGCTGTGATGTTAATTGTTGAACCCACACATTCAGTGTTACTATGTATCATTTTAAGAGTGACGAGTCAGTGCAAAACCCATTCAATCTAAAAGAAGTTGGCTTTATTCATCAACAAAGTCAAGCTTGTAGTGTACTGTTAGATGACAAAGGTGAAGGAGCTATATGTGAGACCTACATTTCATTAAGAAGAATATAATATGTATACAGACATATTGATAGCTACCTCACTAACCTATCTGTGCTGTTTTGTTTGTTATTGAGAAAGAAACAGAGCACTAAATAAGAATGTTTGACCAGCGACAGCAAAATTGTCATTAAAGTATCCACATTTTATTTAGAACAGCTAAACTAATAAATAAGTCAAATAAACTGGTATGATTATTAGTGATTGGGTACAAATCCCTTGCTCACAATTATATTGAGCCCTAAATGTACATCTGACATGGATGTAGCTGGGATTTAATACATTAAAAGAACCTTTTGAGGTGATTATTATGTTAGCCTAATGTTGATTTTCCACAGCAAAAGTCCAAATTTCACTTGTCTTTGGACTAGAGAGGATGAAATGAGCACCCATGGCATTAGACAGCCTAACCACACTATAAACTTTAAATGAGCAGCATAACTGTTTTTGATATGTTTGTCTCTGTTTAATCTATCTTATTATAAAATAATAAGAAGAAATAATAAACCTTGTCTTATATGTATCAGAAAGTGACTTTAGGTTTTTGCTTAACACTGAAGCCAGTGCAGTTAGAGGAAGTCATTCAACAACCGTACATAACAACTGACAAACATGCCAAGCCAGCATGGTCAGGCTAGCCAAAAATAATAAACAGGACATTTATATACTGAGTTGGTTGTCAGAAGTGTAGATGATTGAACATGAGCTGTTAACCTATTTTGTTAATATTTTTATGCACTTATCTCCACCATACACAAACCAAAGCCGTTGTAGTTATACTGACTACCAGTAAGACAGCTATCTAACATTTTGAACGTTGTGCATGAAAATACCCCTTAACCACTGGGATACATCACTGTAGATCATCGCTTTAATGCCCAATCCCATTTCAACCCTCGCCCCTACCACTTAACCCTTAGCCCTCTGTTTTGCGCGTTCATGTTTAGGGGTAGGGTGTCCCAATTCTTGCTGAGATAGAGGGGTAGTGTGAAGTGTTAGGGCCACATGGCTCTCCAAACGAAGGTTTTTCAGAAGCACACTCCAAACAGAGTGTTATAAACTAGCAAGATGGCTGCGCGAGTGACCAAAGAAACCCACAATTGTGAGAATTTTCTCTGTTTTATCTTAGTTTAATGTCGTTTCAATGTATTATGGTCGTTTTCTTCATAACAAGCATAAAAACTCACTAATAGCATGCTAATGTCTCGGTAGCTAGCTAACTAACTTTCCTGTTCCACCTTAAATAGTCCAGCAGTTCTGACACCTTAAGCGGCAAAGTGTAACTTCTGCACTATTTAAGGTGGAACGGGAAAATTCAAACAAGAAGCTGGTAAATATCTGACTTCAGCTCCGTATCACCAAAGAATTGGCAGTGGACGATAATAAATAACTGTCTTTTACCCCCTCTTTGAAGGCATATGATGCCCTAAATGTAACTAAAGCCCAGCAGTGAGGTTGCTGAACTGTTCCCTCCTCTGATATCACTGAAGACTGGCCGTCACCTACAGAGCAGGGCCAGTAGAAAGTTAATGAAGCGATGTAAAGTTAATTCGAGGGTTGTCCCATTATGTAGGGCAAGATTTTAACCACTTCCGCTTGTAACTCAGTTCCAGGGGGTTAGGGTGACACTCGAAAATAAGGGGTAGGGGTAAAAAGAAGAAATGGGATTGGGCCTAAAAAGAAAAACCTATGTCTGCATAGCCAACCTTACAAAAAGCCTAAATTGGCCTTTGAAGAGGAGCTTTTCAACACTATTACAAGTACGAGTAAATTAAAATAAAGTAAAAAAGCAAAAAGATGGGGTGCACGCTGCTTCAAGTCGCCCTGTAAAGCCTGAAAAAGTCATTTAAAAGACCTAAGTGTTGGATAGGATTTTGTGGGGGTTTTTCAGACCATGTTGTACATCTTTACATATAAAGGTCACACATACAGACTCAAAAAGAAGGTCACATCATCAGATGCATTCACTCGGGGAAGAGATCTGACGCACAACCCACATTACAGAGCTCTTCAGCATATTGGGTGCAATTCCACATTACCACCAGGGAGGACTCCAAATCCACAAAACTTACATAGTGTAGCTTTAAGCTCAAAATTAAGTCTAAATTAGACAGCAAATTCTAATATTGTTTAAATGATTTCTTGCCTACCATAGCTACCAAGCCCCAATACGATACTTTAGCAAATGTCACCAATTAGTCACTAACATTTACCACCAGAGCGGTAACTCACAACTTCCCTTGGCTAAACATAACTCTACCTCCAGTGTCCAGTACCACACAAAGGCCTGACAAATGTCACACAAAAAATAATAAAAAATAAATGCCCTACTGGGGTGTTTGAGTTGCAATTGTTACACCACTACCAATTATTGTGTGGTCTGAAATGCTCAGATGCTGTTTTTCTAGCTCTTAACTTAATTATGGTTCAGGTTTTTTTTTGCGAATCTGACACATATTTTTAGGATCATTGACATATTGTTCATTTCTGCAATCAGGTTGGCAGCTCATTTAATACAGAGGTTGCACTGTATGACTGTATGCTTTTAAATTTCAGTCTTCCTGTTTCTGTTATTGTACAGCCACTGAGATCACACTGACCTTTATCAGACTCACTACTGAACCTGAAGTGTGGTCCATGTCTTGTCTTACACATGTTCACTCACTAAGACAAATTCCATGTATAACATACTTGGCAAAATAAAGTGATTTTAAATTCTGATTCTGATCTCATGTTCATCGTTGCTATCAATTTATTAACGCAGTTGTGTAAAGCATTGTGTCTCTGAAAAGTGATCAATTCAAGCATTCTTTTTAACGTTTCAGTTCTTAAACTTAAAAAATAACAATTTAGTGTGCTTTTATGACAGCATTCACACAAGAAGATCCAGTTCACCTGTGCCCAGTGATGTGTCTATGAAGAGTGATAGGTCCATGCAGATACCAATCAATTATAATGGAAAACCTTCACTACCAGAAAAAAGGTGAGCACCAATAGTCTTTCATTTGTCTTGAACTGAACATTTTTGCCATTCACTTCTCCTTCCTGGTTCAAATTGTGAAATATTAACATGATAAAAACTAAGCAACAATAACTTTTTTGACAGTTTTCAGCTGAAAAGATCTAGTTCACCTGTACACAGTGATGCTTCTCTGAAGAGTGACAGGTCCATGCAAATGCCAATCAATTTTGATAGAGAATCAAATGGAGATTTGTCACCAGAGGAAATCTACCTTATCATGTCCTTAGAAAGCCCTCATCTTTTACTGCCTAAGCAATGAATCACCACTGTTCTGACTTCCCTTAAAGGAAATTATACAAGAATGATTCAAACTGCCCCACCACAACCTAAGAAATTCCCATATTTATTCCTGCTGAGGTGTCCCCAAACTTTATTTTTGAAAACTCCAACTTCCATACATTGCACAGCCAGCTACTTAGACACTCCCAAGTAACAAAGAGGTGAGTTTACCTCTGAGTGCGCAGAGAGTGGGACACAGGTGCGGACAAGGAGCAGCATATTGTGGACTATTCATTAAAAGCGCTGACCAATTATGCTGGGTCAGAGTGCAAAAGTTGCAAAATAGCGAAAGTGAAGGGCATTGCTTCCATTTTCTACCAAGTCACATCAAACTTTACTGTGGCTTCAGGTTATTCAGACACAAAATATCCAGATGATACATCAAGATAGATATTCAAATATGAGAGCATGTGTCAGCATTTCATTCCAGAGGACTATGAACATGACCTTCAAGCAGAGTTTGCTGGTTGTCCACCAACATGTAAAGAAACTGCTGTTCCTGGAATGTGAAAGTTCTACCGGCATTCTAAAAAACTGCTCAAACAATTCTGACGTGAACAAATTAGTTCTGCTAACTGTTGCACGTAAGTTGGCTAACAAAAATCCTCACACATCCTCTAAACCACTTATCCTTCTGGGTCACGGTGGGGTGCTGGAGCCTATCCCAGCTGTCATTGGCCGGAAGGCAGGATACCCCCTGGACAGGTCGCCAGTCCACCGCAGGGCAGGCTAACAAAAATAATATTTATAATTAGGTATATGAGCATCTATATGTTTGTGATATGTGCACTGGGCACTATAGCAACAACCTGCATTTTATGAATGAGTAAACTGTTTTTCTTTTTTCTGTAAACAATGAATAACTACTTGTTTAACTCACTGAGGAGCTGCTAAGAGCTGTTACTCCAAATTTTGCACAAAATAAACCCACTGCAGTACATATATTCAACCTCCTTAGACACAGGATAACAAACGCAAATAGTCAGCAGTAGCCTGTTTTTCTCCTGTGTCAGTTTTAGTCTGCTGTCATCCAGATACTGTTGTTTGAGAGTCCTATCTGGGTCAATAGCAATGGTAGTTTGAAATCTTAGTGTATGTATGTGTGAGACTTCCTGTAAGATCCTTAGAGAAGTAAGTCACCATTTTTTGAACATTCCTTCCCCGAGTGAAGACCTTGCAGGACACAATAACACCTTCTGCTCTACCTCTTCTAGTTTTAAGCTGAACCATTTTGATTACATCAACAAAAGTTAAGAACTAATGTTTTTTCATTAGACCTGAACTTAAACTAAGGAGCCTTATATCGTACTCTGTTCTATTTCATTTCCAATTAATAAACAAAATTATTAACATTAAAGTGAGCTTTTATGACAGTGTACAGATGAAAAGGTCCAGTTCACCAGTGCCCAGTTACGTGTCTATGAAGAGCGACAGGTCCATGCAGATGCCAATAAATTATAATGGAAGACTTTCACCACCAGAAAAAAGGTAAGAACTGAAAGTTTTTAATTAACCCACCAATCTAAGCTCACTGAAACCTAAAATGTCCCACCATTGTTTTTTTTTTGTTGTTTTTTAACAACTGTTAAATATTACAACAACATGCTCTACTGTTTAATAACAGTTTCCATCTGAGAAGATCAAGTTCATCTGTGCCCAGTAGTGTGTCTCTGAAGAGTGATCGGTCCATGCAAGTGCCAATCAATTATCAGGAAAAACCCCCTGTACCAGAAAAAAGGTAAGAGCTGAAGGTTTTTCACTAACCCGCCAATCTGAGCTCATATATATATATGTATATATATTCGTTTTTTTTGCAGCTAACATTGTTGTGCATTTATTATGACAATGGTAGCATTGTCCAATACATTCCAAATATCTTTCTGTACCTGTTGTAGAAATGCCAGTAGGCTACCTGTTTCTTCTAGCAGTCTTGGTTTTGAGCGTGGGACCAGCCCATCAGCGTCTGTAAAAGTAATAAATTTACATACATCCAGACGTTTATGGAACATTGTTTATGGTATGAGCATTGCTACACAGCTAGCCATTGTTCATCATCAGTTGTGGTAGCCACTCCTAATAGCAAGGCAATATAATGAGTCAAGTCAAAATATAATAAAAGTTATATTTGGTGCCCAGCCATATGAGCAGAAATTAGAGATTAAACACTTGGGACCACACCAGCCAGAGGATTTCAACATCATTCAGTCTGGAAAGGACAAAAACTGTTCTTTCAATCCAGAGAGGATCAAGAGAAAAACATGGCTAACTTTGAGTGTAGCTAAAAACACTGTCCTTGCCTGCACTTTTATGCACTTGCTTAGCTATAAATTGAATTCATTCATGCGTTGTTGGACTTTGAGAGAAAAGTTTTTGACAAGTTTGCCCAGATGAAAGATCGTCGTACATCTTTTTTTTTTCGAGCAGTGAACGTCACTCGTGAGTCATTCTGCATTATTAAAAGGCGTGTTATTCCTAATGCCCGGAAAACAGTGTGTTTCTCTGATATGAAATATTGCTTTGGATTTGTAGTTGCAGACCACAATGATCATATACTGCAAGATAACTTTGGATTTGTAATGTGATGCTGCATAACCAGGTTTTGTGAGATCTAATGTCGTTATCATATCACTCATATTCCTGTCTCCACTTCCTCTAACTCCTGCACCACATTACGTTAATTTGTGAATTTGTGATTTAATTGATTGAGTGTGTTGGTGTTTGGATCAGGTTTGTGTGCAGTTTCATTGACAAATCGCTGCTGCCCCTACAGTGTTTTGTGCCCCACCAGGCTTTCTGTGCCAAAGACACCACGGATTATTATAGACTCCAAATATTAACTATTGACACTCAGATAATATGGTGTTTTTTTGACAGTTTTCTCTTGAAAAGATCCAGTTCCTCTGAGCCCAGTAGTGTGTCTCTGAAGAGTGATCGGTCCATGCAAGTGCCCATCAATTACAAGGAAAAACCTTCACCACCAGAAAAAAGGTGAGAATTTTCAATAGCTCTCAGTTTAACTTCACTGAAACTTCCAATGTTACTTCACTGTGTTAAGCACCAGTTATTAAATATTAATACATTTTTCTATACTATTTTATAACAGTTTCCATCTGAGAAGATCAAATTCATCTGTCCCCAGTAGAGTGTCTCTGAAGAGTGATCGGTCCATGCAAGTGCCAATCAATTATCAGGAAAAACCTTCACTACCAGAAAAAAGGTAAGAACTGAAGATTTTTCATTAACCCACCAATCTGAGCTCATTGAAACCTCTAATGTTACTTCATTATTATTGGCTCCAATTAATAAATATTGACACTCAAAAATGATGGTGTTTTATGGCAGTTTTCTGCTGAAAAGATCCAGTTCATATGACCCCAGTAGTGTGTCTCTGAAGAGTGATAGATCCATGCAAGTGCCAATCAATTACCAGGAAAAACCTTCACTACCAGAAAAAAGGTAAGAGCTGATGGTTTTTCATTAACCCACCAATCTGAGCTCACTGAAACCTCTAATGTTCCTTCATTATTATTGGCTACAGTTATTAAATACTGATACTCAAATAATGTGGTATCATTTTCAGTTTTCTGCTGAAAAGATCCAGTTCATATGAGCCCAGTAGTGTGTCTCTGAAGAGTGATAGATCCATGCAAGTGCCAATCAATTATCAGGAAAAACCTTCACTACCAGAAAAAAGGTAAGAGCTGATGGTCTTTCATTAACCCACCAATCTGAGCTCAATGAAACCTCAAATGTTCTTTCATTATTATTGGCTACAGTTATTAAACAATGATACTCAAATAATGTGATATTTTTTCAGTTTTCTGCTGAAAAGATCCAGTTCATATGGACCCAGTAGTGTGTCTCTGAAGAGTGATAGGTCCAGGCAAGTGCCCATCAATTATAAGGAAAAACCTTCACTGCCAGAAAAAAGGTAAGACCTTATGGTTTTTCAATACACCTAATTTAACTCCACAGAAACCTCCAATGTCCTTATCAAGTAGTACTCTTTCTCTATCAGCAACACACAGTGGCAGTTGAGGATGCCTAGACAAGAAGAGACCACGAGGAAGGAGTTCATTCACAATAGCAATGAAAACTCCAGAGAAGCACTGTAAGTAACACATTAACCATCTGTTATTTCTCAATGCCTAGTGAGCTGACTTGCTATCCACTAACTAAAATAGAACAGTTTACTAAGAGATCCTGGTTAGGCAGCAATCACACCACCAATCAGCATCACTATAGGTTTTAAATTTTTCTGTAAAATCTGCTGACTGAGCAGCAATGTAGTCCCAGATTAGCACAATGTTTTTTTTTATAATTGGAGCTAATTATCAAGAGTAGGTCACATACTAGGGTCAGTTTATCAACTAACAGTAACTTGCTAATGAAGTTCAAAAACACTACTTAACAGCCTAGTACTAGCTAAGCTAAAAAGTTAGTTAACTAGCATGCTATCTATGATTACCTTTGATGCATCAAAAAATCAGGTAATTTGTCTAATGTGTAATTTGACATTAACAAAATCATTTTTAAAAATTATATTTAGACACTTTTAAAACAACAACAATAAGATTACTTCACCACTTGCCACATCACCATCATCTACCCTCTTGACTGAAATGATTCACATAAGATTAGGTCAATTTGAGACATTTGAGTAGGCAGCATTTTAATGTATGTAATGTAAAAAGGTTCATGTTGAGGATGCCTATTTGCTGTTTAAATGCTGTCTATTTCGACAGCTTGAGTTATTTAGACATAACAGCCATTGTGAATGTAGTACAATGTACATTTTTGTATAGAAACATATTAAACATATTAAAATTCCTTTTTATTTCACAGACATGAATCAAGCACCTTGGAGTTACCAAATGAAAAACTGAAATTCATTTTTAGAGAGAGATATCAGCATTTATTTGAGGGAACAGCACAGCGAGGAAACCCAATATTACTCAATAAAATCTACACAGAACTCTACATCACTGAGGATATGAATAATGCTCTCCAAGGCCATCATGAAGTGAACCACATGGAGGCAACACTGATGACAGTAAGAGTGGACACCCCAATCAGATGCAATGACATCTTTAAACCCTTACATGGACAAGACAAGCCTATTAGAACTGTGCTGACAAAGGGAGTGGCTGGCATTGGAAAAACTGTCTCTGTGCAGAAGTTTGTTCTGGACTGGGCTGAAGGTGAAGCAAATCAGGATGTCCACTTCATATTTCCACTTCCATTCAGGGAGCTAAATTTGATGAGGGACCAAAAATACAGTCTGAATGACCTTCTTCAGCATTTTTTCATGAAAGGAATCGATGCAAGTTCACCCCAATTTACAAACCATTCTCTTCTTATCATTTTTGATGGTCTGGATGAGTGTCGCCTTCCTTTAGATTTTCAGAACAATGAGAGTTTTTGGGATGCAACGAAGACAACCACAGTAGATACCCTGTTAACAAATCTCATCAAGGGGAATCTGCTTCCCTCTGCACAAATCTGGATAACCTCTCGACCAGCGGCATCTGGCCGCATTCCACCTGAATGTGTTGATCGAGTAACAGAGGTACGAGGATTCAATGATCCACAGAAGGAAGATTACTTTAGGAAGAGAATCACTGATCAGAGCCTGGCCAACAGAATCATTACCCACTTGAAGTCACTGAGAAGCCTCTACATCATGTGCCACATTCCAGTATTCTGTTGGATTGCAGCCACTGTTCTGGAGAGAATGGTGGTTGACTTTGGGTGGGATAAGATCCCTAAGAGTTTAACTCAAATGTATACGTACTTCCTGATCACACAGATCAACAATAAAAAAGCGAAGTACTCTGACAACAAAGTCACAGATAAAGAAATGATTTTCAAGCTTGGGAAGCTCGCCTTTGAGCAGCTTGAAAAAGGCAATCTGATCTTCTATGAGGAAGACCTGAAAGAGTGTGATATTGATGTCAGAGAAGCATCTGTGTACTCTGGGGTCTTCACAGAAATCTTCAAGGAGGAGTTTGGGCTTTTCCAAAGGAAAGTGTTCAGCTTTGTGCATCTGAGCATTCAGGAACATCTTGCAGCTCTGTATGTGTTCTTGTCCTTCCACAATCACAAGCGAAACATGGTTAATCCTCAACAGACAAGTAATCATAAACCCCTAACGATGTTAAGCTTGCATAAGACTGCAATTGATAAAGCTTCTGAGAGTGAAAGTGGACACCTGGACCTCTTCATCCGTTTTCTCGTGGGCTTCTCACTGGAGTCTAACCAGATCCTCCTGCAAGACCTACTAGTACAGAAATGCAATCCTGAGGAGATAACAGAAACCATCAGCTATCTGAAAATGAAAATCAGAGAAAACCTCTGTGCTCATTTGTCAGTCAAATTCTTCCATTGTCTGAATGAGCTAAATGACAGCTCTCTTGTAGATGAAATCCAAACATTCTTGAGGAACAGAACAATAAATAAGGAAAATCTCTCTTCTGAACTCTGGTCAGCATTAGTATTCGTAATACTCACTTCAAATGAGAAGTTGGATGTGTTTGAACTTCGCAAATATGGCACGTCAGACAAAGCTCTTCTCTGCTTGTCTTCTGTGATGAAGTTGTCTAGGATGGCCAGGTAATGAATAGGTCATACCTAGTGACAAAGTAACAAATACTTGACTTGATGAGCTATATTAAATTATATGAATATATCTGAGTATATATATATATATATATATATATATATATATATATATATATATATATATATATATATATATATAGCTGCTGTCAGAAGAAAAACTTGTATCTCCATTTTTGTAATTTTTTCAGTTTTTGACATGAAAATGCCTGTTGCCCTTTACACCTTTACATTCTATGTAAATTTCATGAAGAATGGACAAAAAGAAATGGCCCAAAACAACCAAGTCTAGTTCCACCGACTTACATTAAAAGTAAAGTAGGTTTTATATATATATATATATATATATATATATATATATATATATATATATATATATATGTGTGTGTGTTCTTTCAGATTGAAGAACATTGAACTGTCTTGTTCAGTGTTATTTAGGTTCAATTTATGAGTGTAATTTGAATAAACTAAGAATGTCATTGTTTAACAGTGTTTCATGAAACTGCTTCCTATGCCTCGATATATACAAAATGCAAGATTTCAGAAGTGAAATGTGATGTTTTTGTTCTGGCAGCTTGAGGAACTGTAAGCTCACAATGAAAAGTTGTGCAGCATTGGCTGTACTTCTCCCCACCATCCCAGTCACAAAAGAGCTGGATCTCAGTCACAACAACGTGCAAGATGCTGGAGTGAAGCTGCTTTGTACCGGTCTTTCAGCAGACACTTTAAACAAAATGCCGTATGTTATTTGTTTTATATTAATTTATTCAGTTAACCTCTTAAAATCCCAGGCTTATTACATACTAAAGCTTAATATTCAGTAACTAGAGGAACTTCAATAGAAAGTGGTTGAGCTATTCGTAGGTTATAAAAGTGTGCAATAAAACTATGGGACCACCAGCAGGCCCTGGCCATAGGGCTGAACAAGAATATTTTGAATAAGTGTGTTTTTGCCATATCCTGTTTGAAAGCAGTGGCTATTGGTAAATTCACATAGGAGCAATAATGAGGTAGAAAAGTTCAGATTTGCTCAATACTGTTTCATATGTCTTGAGGTTAAATACAAAACATTTTTTCCCGCTCTGCAGGGTAAACTGCTCTATTGCTAAAAAGAAACATTTTCTTACTTCAGCTCTGAGTTTAAACCCCTCATTTAAAACTGACCTGACCCTGGAATGGGATGATGCAGCACAAATGATTTACCATTTAATAGAGGTATTGCCTCAGAAATGTGGCATGAAGGAGTTCCCGGGACTGAGGGGCACTCATTGTACCATTGAGATCTTGAGGTAAATAAACATGGTTGGTGTTCACCCACAGTTGCCATTATCAACAGTAAAAAACACTGGGCCATTTAAAATACAATCTTGGAGATCTGTTTGGACCTCTACAATGTTGAGCCCATGTATTTAATCATGTTTATGTCTTTGGTTTTCGCAGGCTGAATAACTGTGGTGTTACAAGTGTGGGCTGTGATTTTCTTGCTTCAGTCCTGAGTTCAAACTGTTCAAACCTGAAAGAACTCGACCTGAGCCAGAACAACATAGGAGACTTGGGATTAAAAGTGCTTTCTGATGTTTTGAGAAGTCCTTCATGTAAACTGGACACACTAAAGTGAGTTATGATAAAAGCACTTAGCAGATTAAATTGCTTAAATTGATATGATTCAAGAGAGAATTTCACAATTTTTTCGAAATATCTCCATAATTTATTTGTTAAGAATGTACAATTGTATGTGTACTGAAATTTTATATGTGTTTTTATATGGATGAAGACATTTAGACTAAAATGTACTCAAAACTATTATAAAACATCAGTCAGCAATCAGTCAGCAATTCATGTCATCATGACTGAATGAGTTTTATATCTTAATACATTTTATATCTTAAGAAATTTTGAATTATTCTTTTAACAATATTCTTGATTTTTTTCTATCTTTTAACAATAACCTAATTGTGTAGCAATATACTGCATTTAGAGTACTGAATGCATAATTAACATATATATATTATTACTTTTCCTCAGGGTGAATAATTGTAAACTTACAGAGCACAGCTGTGCAGCATTGGCCTCAGCACTACAGGAAAATTCAGGCTTAAAATCTCTATCCCTGAGTAATAATGAGTTACAGGATTCAGGAGTGAAGCTGCTTGCTGCTGGACTGGAGGATCCTCGCTGTAAACTGGAGGCATTGGGGTGAGATTTTCCAACAGAAGTTTATATTCAAATGATACTCAACGAGAAATATTTGAGGAAAGTCAATCTTTAAATGCATCAGTTTGTTCTTTTGTAAACAATGATCACTAAGATTAAAACATTCATATATCTCTCTTTGTAGGCTTTCAAATTGTAACCTCGAGTTACAAGGTTTTGCATCACTGACATTGGCCATGAGGTCAAATCTTCCTAACCTGAAAGTTTTGGACTTGGGCAAAAACAGACCAGGAGATTCAGGAGTGAAGCTGCTTTTTGCTGTTCTGGAAAGCCCACAGTGCAGACTTGAGAAACTAAAGTTAGTGTTATGATTAGTCATCTTACTTTGTATATGAATATTTTTACTGAGACATTTTGGTAGTCATGTGGAAGTAATTGCAAATGTAGTGTACACTATAAAAAGCCTATCTTGGAAGTATCTTATGTCTGATAAACATGTACAATATACAATATTGACAAGCAGTAGAATAAGAGCATTTTACATTACAATGTATAGACCTATGTTGAAATATCTTACAACAATAAGATTTATTGTGTTATCTTAAAACATTTTGTCAAATATTAGACATTGCTTTCATTTGCCAGGATATCCTTTTTCTTGCAGTATAGAAAGTAATGCTTTAATGATATTTCTGCCCTGAAGGCTAAACGAGTGTGGCATCACAGAGGAAAGCTGTGCAGATCTGGCATCAGTTTTCAGCTCTGAGTTTTCATGTCTGCGAGAGCTGGACCTGAGTATTAATGACCTGAAGGATTCAGGAGCAAAGATGCTCTCTGTTGGAGTGGGACATCCGAACTGTAAACTAGAAAATCTCATGTAAGTCTGTTTGACTGCTAACACTATAAGTATACCAAGTCCATTTCTAGTGAGCACATTGGTTTCAATGTAAAGTCCTGATTTGCTTTTTTCTTGCATTTGATGTATTTACAAAGTAGTTCAGTTTTTTGTCATGCATCGTTAATGTGTAACTACACAGTTATTATAGAGACACTATACTACTGTAATCCATTTTACAGTGAATACATTTCACCAATAGGTATTTTGTTTTTGCATGTACAGTTAATATTTAACTACACAGTTATTATAGAGACACTATACTACTGTAATCCATTTTACAGTGAATACATTTCACTAATAGGTATTTTGTTTTTGCATATACAGTTAATATTTAACTACACAGTTATTAGAGGCACTTCTTTTAAAGTGGGACCATTTCACCTGTTATTTTATAAATTTGACAGAAGATTGTTGGTTTCATGCATTAACTACTGACTATGTGTCATGATTTGAGTCTGAAACTCTTAATAATAAAAAACACCTTTCTTCTCCATAGGCTGTACAACTGCAGGTTTTCAGAAGAATGCTATAGTGCTCTGGCCAAAGCTCTGCAATCAAATCCCTCACTTACAAAACAGCAGTGTGTAATGGACAATAAGCACGGAGGCTCCAGAATGCAGCTACAGTCCGATACAGGATAGATCACATATCAGACTCAGTCAGCAAAGTGCAACAGTAACCAGATAGTTTACAGCTGTGAGGAAATAAATGCCTAAACCCATCCTCAAGTAAAAGTGTTGTCACTGCTGTTAAAAATAATGACTGCTTTAAAAGTGACAGCCCCTTCACTTTCACTGGAGCTGAACCAATACAATAGACTGAAATTAAACCCAGGAAGGAACATTTTAACATTTTAAATGTTAATGTATAACAAAACCAAGTAAAGACCAGATTCCTCACAGATATACTTCAGTAGATGTAAAATGATTACTTGAATTATTAGTACAACTCATCAAAACATTAATGTGCCAGTTTAAGTGATTACTACCCATCTGTGATCTGTAGTTAGGACTCCTTTCAACTGAGTAACAGATGACCAGAAGCATCAAGATAGAACCTTTTAAGGCACCCATGGTTTACATACATTGAAACGGCAATTATTTTCATTTCTCAGAAGTAGATCTTGGAAACACATGGAAATTGCAGATTCTAAACATTCAGTCCATACCTCATTTAAATAGAGGGGGAGATATGTTATTGTAATTTTAATGTGAAAATGTATTTTTGTGTGTAGTGTTGTTTAATGGACAGAAACTTCTATTTTTTGGCCATGTTTGACATCAAAACAAATCGAAAAAGGTGAAGAAATGTAGACTCATACTTAACAATATAAAATGAGATTGTAATATATGTAAATAACTCTGTAACTAGTATGTTATTACATTTAAATTTGTATATTATGTAAATAAAAAAAAACATGGCTAAATGACAATAAAGACTTCTAAAATGAACGAATGAATCAGACATACTAAAGTACTGTGTTCCAGCTTCTGTTTACAATAACGTTCAACACAATATCCATATTTATTCACATTTGATCTCGTTTCATACAAACTCTGTGAAGAAATATCAAATAAAGAAAGAAAGATAGAAAGAACAGAAATAATGTCTGAATGTGAACGTAAATAAACAATAATATTTCCCAATAATTATTGTCTTGTGCTTAGTCTAGAATTGAAATTATTCATTCTTATTACTGATAAAGAAATTTGAGAGACTTTTGTGCTTTATATACATATATTGTTTTTAACAGCTACACAGAGCATTTACATTGCATTAATTATTACTGGATTCTGTTATGTTAGTCATACAGACTGCCATTTGGTTTGTTCAACAACTACATGTTATATTCTAAGAGGAATATGAATTAAATCTGTGCTACCTAAGAAAACATTATCCTGTTTGCCAAACAAATATGGTGCCTTATTTTCCATAGACTCCAATTCAAGTCATTTGAGATTGCTGAGTGTTAGAACCAACCATAATAAGATCATTTACAGCATTTAGACAAGTTGTTACATGTACTCACTCAGAGCACAGCAACTTGCTTACCGTGTGAAATCAAAATGTTCACCACTAACGGTATTTAGGTCAAAAAGGCTCATCATGAATGAAAAAATAAACATATATTCTCTGGGAACATCAAAGCAAAGAAAGAAAAAATAATTAAAAACAACAGCAACAAAGTAGACAAAGTAGATTAGTCTTCTTACAAATATACTAGAATAGAATTAAAAGCATACATAGTATCCAGAATTATCCTGTTTTAATGTATAATGTATAATGTATGTATTTTTGTGCTGCATTCAAAAAAGTACAGTAGTGTCTTACTGTAAACAAATGTTAGTGTGAGTACTGTAAATATTAATTACAACTACCTTGGAACTTTGCTACATGGAAGTTACTGTAAATATATAATTATTTATTTATTTATTTAGTTAGTTAGTTAGTTAGTTAGTTAGTTATTTTACAGTGCACAGCAACTTTCTTATGGCATGAAACCAAAGCGTTCATCAGTTCATCACTATTTCTATGGTGGCATAAATTCTTTATTGCTAAAAGTTCCTCCACAGCAAGATGAATGTAAAAGGATTCATTTAATTACAAAACTTGGAAAGATTAAAGGTGAAGTGACAGCTGAATGTATTTAAACAGTATTTTTTTTTCAAAAGGGGGGTTTGCAGTCTTATCACAAATAGAGGGTCTTGGACAAAATGTTGGACAAAGTGACTATAATGCAAAGAAGTAATCAAAAAAATTAAAGGCATATTATTATAAATGACCCTAATTCATTTTGTTTTTGTTACTCAACCCAGATACAACCCACATACACAGTTTATAGGTATGCTGAAAATAAATAAAAAGGTTTTATGTAAGAACAAAAAGAGAATAACTCCTCCTTCCTGAAATAGTACCTTGTGCGTAATCATGTGCAGAGAGGACTGTCAGGTCACTCAACTGCATTTTCTGAGCAGGCAACATTAAGAGTGAAGGGTGAGTAAAACACAGCAGTTCTTTGGATTTTTAATAATCCATTTGCTAATTTAGGACAATAAATGTCTTCATTAAAACTAGAGAATACAATAACTTAGAAAACACACTGTTAAAGATTCAAATGCTATGATGTACTATTTCAAATATGTGTAAACAAACAGAAAAACTTATGTATACTTGTGTAACAGTGTGTATAAGTGAAATGTTCAAGAAATCTTTTATAGATTTTCACTAATTCCTTATTTGTTTCTGTGGAAAAATTTTATTTTCCTAGTAGTTTGTTACCGTCAATTATAAATGTGGCTTCACCTGTTTTACAGGTAACTACAGACTCTTCTTCCTTGTTCGCTTGCAGTTTTTTCTGTCCTGCACTGTTCTTGATGGATCCAAAAATACTTTGTAAATAGGGTTCAAGGAAGTTATTTCAGTTTTCACTATGAACCTCAAGCGTGCAGAAAGCTATGAAGATCACATTGACGTCAAAAGGTGAGGTAGTTTTGTTTGTCTTTTTGCATGTTCTTTCCTAAATGAGATAGATCCTTTAATATAGTCCATAAATGGAACATCTTAAATTATGCATGCATTTAAATCTCTCCTTTAAAACATCAAGACAAGTGAAGAGCTATATTGAAAGTGTAGTTTATGGATGTTAAAAAAAAATGAGAATGTGAATGTCTGATGTGGAATCTTTGGCAAATGTTATTTTTAAGAAAATGGAGGCAACCAGTGAACATGAGATTGTGATGCTGTGCTGACATTAATATTCATATTGTCAGTCGTGTATATAATTTCTGAATGAATAATATTTCCCAATGTGTTATGTGGTCATCATTTGAATTTGTTGTTTATCTTTTATCTAGTTGCTGATTTAACACCTTAAGCCCTTAAAATTCCCAGGCTAATTACATACTGAGGTTAATATTCAGTAACTACAGGGACTTCAATGCAAATAGGTTGAGCTGTTCCTAGGTTTTAGATGTATGTAATAAAACTTTGGGTCTGCATGAGGGACCTGCCCATTTAAGGGGTTAAAATCCCAGACTTATTACATAGTAAGGCTTATTATGGGTCTTCAATACATATTTCCTTTCCCTGTCTGAGTTGTCTCAAACTGCAATCACCAGCATTTCTATCTCTCATTAAATCTGGTACACCACAGCTTTAAATGATGATTTAAATCTTGGCCAATTCTAAACAGCATTTTCTTACTTTAAATGAAAAAATATTTGTGGGGAACACCATAAAGTCTTTTCAGTCATGATTCACCTAACTATCCTAAAGTCTGTAGGATAGCCCAAACCCATACTTAAGTAAAAGTGGAAAGATTTGGAAAGATATTTTTACTTTTATTGAGTCATTATTTTACAGAAGTAACAACACTTTGACTCCAGTGTGGGTTTGGGCTATCATACCAGTGAACAACTTATAAAACAGCAGATGAACCTATTAGTATATCCAGCATCTATCAACATAGTAACTGAAGTTTGTTAGCCTCTTGATGCACTTTTACTTTAAAATGAAATACTGAAGTTCAAAAGTCAGAGATGCAACCAATTTCAAGGCAGTGCAAATGCTGTTAGTAACATAACATAATGAAATTAAACACAAAAGAAACTAGTAACTAATTATCAATGACTAAAATGTAAAAAAATAAAACAAGGATTACTTTTTTCCAAGGTGTATTTTAATGTATTTTAAGGTAATGCAAAAATTCATCAAACGTTTTCATCAGTACATGAAACTAAGTAAACATAATGAGTTACTATCCATACCTGTGGATAGTGTATTTTGATTATAATGTATTTTGAAGAGAAAACACATGTATGAGTAAAAGAAAGTGCAGTAGGTAATGGTCAGGTTAAAGGTGCAGCTTTGGACAATAGTTCATCGTAAAGAAAAAACAGCAGGGAATGTTTGTATATTTGTGTAGACAGTGTGCCTCCAACCAGTGTCTAATTTGTATACCTAGTGTATTAATTTAATATATTACTTTTTTCATGTCCATTTTCCAAAATGTTAGGTCAGATTCACCTATGCCAAGCAACGAATCATTTAGGAGTGATGTATCAGTGCAACATCCAGTTGGCAATTTCTCATGTGACCATAGGTAAGACCATAGTTCACTTCTACATGCATAGCTTTGAGGGATTTTTTTGTCCATCCTTTGTGAGCATTACTGCATTTTTATTTCAACAATGTATGTGTTATTTTGCTTAGCCCTTTATAAGTACTAGTATATTTTAAGTATAAGTACCTTAAGAACTAGAATGTAAGTTTGCAAATAAGGTTTGCAAACAAAGAGGAGGAATTTTGCAGTCAGTATGAAATGAGCTTTTGTCAGTAGAGGATCTTTCTAGCAAGCCTATTGCATGGGCATAAAAAACTGAAGAAGTAACAAAAATACTTCATTTCTATGAGATAGTGGAGAGACAAGAAAGTATGGCAGGATTAGATCAGAATGAATTACAGATCTGGCACCTGTGTCAATGCCTAAAGCTTAATCTAAGCTTTCTAGGTTGTGCTTGGTTAGACAGTGGACTATTTAAACAGCATTGACTGATGGCTGTGAAGTAAGAGAGAGCAGCAAAGGTATAAGAAAACACAGTAAAGGAAAAAGTCAGGTAAAAGATGCAGTTTAGTAGGGCGACTAACACTAGTTATATTGTTTCCATTTTCCAATTAACAAATTTAGGTCAGTCTCATCTTTGTCAAGCAATGTGTCCTTTAAGAGTGATACATCAATGCAACACCCAGTCGGCAATTTTCTCACGCACCCAAAGGTAAGACCATAGTACAAAGGCAAGCTCTGTATTAAATTGATTGGCACAACTATTCAGAGTAAAGTTTGTAAAAACTTTTAGCTGGTGTGGCAAAGTTTAATTCAAGACATGGAAACGAAGAATATGTCTAAACCAAAGATTTTTAGGGATGGAAAATCAGAATGCAGTGGAGTGAGAATAAAATAATCATTGCACATCCAGTATGTTATGCAGCCTATGCACTGTTTTCAGGAGAAGAATCCTTCTGGCAAGCCTATTGGTTGCACCATAAAAAAGAAGAAGTAATGAAATAGTTCATTTATGTGAGCTGACGGAGAAACAAAAAGTTATAACAGGGTTAGTATCACAGTGTCATCCCTCTGGGAACACTCCACTTGGACTTGCCTGGCTTGGCTCTCTGTATTAATCTGGTCCCAACACCTCTTGTTACAGTTACGGGAGACTTGGCTGCAGCCAGTAGCAAACCCCTCACAACCACCACCATGCCTGTCTCCTCACAGTCTTTCTTCCTTAGGACAATTGATGGTTCACATCAGGGCTGTGTGGAAGAGCTCCAGCTCTACTTCCAGACTAACATTTTGAGCTCTTTTGAACAGAAAAAAACCTGGCAGCATTTGCTTGCCTCATGATTAGGAGGACCTGTCTTTGATTGGGCTGCCTTGGGAGCCACATCTGCTCCCGTCCAGCTGCCTGGGGCCCCATCTGCTCCTGCCCTACTGCCTGCAGTCCTGCCCATTATTGCCCCACTGACTGCAGTCCTGCCCATTATTGCCCCACTGACTGCAGACCTAGAATGCTCCTGCCCCTGTAATGCTCCTGTCCAGCCTCTGCCTCTATTTTGGGCTCCTTTGTTGGACTGCACCCTCCGTGATCCAGGCCAATGCTCTTTTTTACTTTTCAGGGGCTGAACATTAAGGGAGGATAGGGTTCTTTCACAGTGTCAAAAGAAGAGACACCAATCCAGCTCCAGCAGCTCCAACTATGTATACTATACTTATGTATAGTGTATACTTGCCTGCTTGTGTTTTGACTGCTGCCTGTGACGACTGAGTGTTGGAAAGCTATCCTCCACATGTATACTGCCTTAGTGCCCCTGACAGAAAACTTTGTCAAAGAAGAATCCAGCGAGTAGCAAACCCCTCACAGCCACCACCAAGCCTGTCTCCTGACAGTCTGTCACCCCGAGGACATTTGATGGCTCATTTGAGGACTTTCTGGGCTTTATAGGAGGGCCAGTTAAACTAAGCCCAACACCATGAGGTCTTTCATTCAGAGAAAACTTTGGCAGCATTTGTTGCCTCCTGGTTAAGAGGGCCTGCTTTGTATCAGGCTGCATACATATGCAGTGCCTTATTCACAAATCTGAGATCTCTTCCATTTTAGATCTCCTCTTTGAACTGGAGGAGGAAGAGGAACAGTGCCTGTCTCATAGCTCATGTGCCTGTCCCTCTTGCAGCTCCTGTACCTGGCCCTTGTGCAGCACTTGTGCCAGATTGCCAGTACACCACTCAGACAACCTCTGCCTTCTGCCTCTGCCACAGAGCCAGTGCCACCTGTCTCTGCTGTTGATCAAATCATCATAAGCTTTTGTCCTGATCCACGTTCTGTACTTGCTCTAATCCATCTCCTGTCCAGCTGTCTGCGGCCTTTTTTGCTCCTGTCCAGAGGCTTGTGGCCTCATCTGCTCCAGCCCTCTTGCTGCAGCCCTTCAGCTCCCACTCCTGTCACTCGTCCAGTCCATGCCTCTCCATGGTCTGGACCCACCTTCTGTTTCTGTCTCAACACCATTTATTGTACAGTTAGATCATGGCTCTCAATATGAAATCTGGTCTTGGTCTTTGTGTTAATGGCAGACAGTGGGTTTCTGTGGAAGGACAGATGGTTGTAAGAAAGGACAGCGGGGTTTTAAAAGAAAAGTGCAATCAGTATAAAATGTATTTATGTAACTTGGAACAGCAGGTATGTCATTTTGATATCCACTGAATAAATAGGACTGATTAGTTTTGCCATTTTTAATTTCCAATTCATAATTTAGGTCACAATCACCTGTGCCAAGCAGTGTATCACTTAAGAGTGAAACATCAATGCAACACCCAGTTGGCAACTTTACATGTGACCAAAGGTAAGACTATTGTTTACTTTTCACTTTTACACCATAGCATTAAAAGACTTCTATTGCAGGTCCTGTGTGTTCTTAGAGCAACAATGATATTGATATAACACAGCCTATGCACAAGTCAGTGTGCTTTATTAACGAGCTGTACTTGGCCACAGCTATGCAAAACACAAAGAGAGTTTGGCTACAGTTTAGTCTCATATTCTCAGCTCTGGACTCTTTAAGCACTCAGCTCTGCCTACCTCTGTTCTTCCTGTTTTACAGGCATAAAAACAGCTGACAACCTCTGTTCGTCCTGTTCTACAGGCATAGACATATTTTGCAGGCTAGCCTCACCTTTGCAATAAGCGGCCTTATCAGAATAAAACCTTTCTTGAACATGCTACACTATCCATGACCTCTTCATTCAGTAAGGAACAGTACATTTTTAAGTACTACGACAGCTAGAATGTAAAGTCTGTAAATTTAAAGTTAGATTGCCATTCCAAGGCATGGAAATTAAGTATATGGAACATGAGTTTAAAAGTCAATAGGTTTTCTTTCACTTGAGATGAAATGAAAGCGATCACTTTGCTATCAGTACAAAACATAGCCTATGTGCTTTTGTCATGTAATTTTTGTATCTGGAAGAAGTAATAAAAGTAATACTTTTCAGTTACATGACGAGAAGTAGCAAGAAGCAGGGTTAGATGAGTGTTCTCAGACTGAAAGCCAGTCTTGACAAAGTTCAACCACTGGTATTTTTATATTCATGCAATTTCTAACAAAGTTTTGCCTCTGCCAGTAATTCACAATGTCATTTATGGACCTTTGGACCAAGAGTGCCCTCCCAGAATTGCTCCAGTCTCAATTCTGACGCAAACTCTACACGGTAAGGAAAAAAAGTACAAATCATTACAACAGGACACACAACTATTTCTGCATAATATTAAGCTAATATGAAGCAACAGGTCTTTTTGAATTCATAATAATATTATAAATCATTTTTCAGACATCCCTCAAGCACTCTGGAGACAGCCCAAGAAAAACTTAAGTTAACCTTCAGAGAAAGGTATCATCATTTAATTGAGGGAACAACACATCAAGGAAACTCAGTACCACTCAATAAGATTTACACAGAATTGTACATCACACAAGGTATGAATGAAGGTCTCTGCCATCACCATGAAGTGAACCAGATTGAGGCAAAACTGAAGACAGTAACAGTGGACACACTTATCAAATGCAATGACATCTTTAAACCCTTACATGGACAAGACAAGCCTATTAGAACTGTGCTGACAAAGGGAGTGGCTGGCATTGGAAAAACTGTCTCTGTGCAGAGGTTTGTTCTGGACTGGGCTGAAGGTGAAGCAAATCAGGATGTCCACTTCATATTTCCACTTCCATTCAGGGAGATGAATTTGATGAGGGACCAAAAATACAGTCTGAACGACCTTCTTCAGCATTTTTTCATGAAAGCAATCGATGCAAGTTCACCCCAATTTACAAACCATTCTCTTCTTATCATTTTTGATGGTCTGGATGAGTGTCGCCTTCCTTTAGATTTTCAGAACAATGAGAGTTTATGGGATGCAACGAAGACAACCACAGTAGATACCCTGTTAACAAACCTCATCAAGGGGAATCTGCTTCCCTCTGCACAAATCTGGATAACCTCTCGACCAGCGGCATCTGGCCGCATTCCACCTGAATGTGTTGATCGAGTAACAGAGGTACGAGGATTCAATGATCCACAGAAGGAAGATTACTTTAGGAAGAGAATCACTGATCAGAGCCTTGCCAACAAAATCATTACCCACTTGAAGTCACTGAGGTGCCTCTACATCATGTGCCACATTCCAGTCTTCTGTTGGATTGTAGCCACTGTTCTGGAGAGAATGGCAGTCGACTTTGGGTGGGATAAGATCCCTAAAAGTTTTACTCAGATGTATACGTACTTCCTGATCACACAGATCAACACTAAAAAAGCAAAGTACTCTGACAACAAAGTCACAGATAAAGAAGTGATCTTCAAGCTTGGGAAGCTCGCCTTTGAGCAGTTTGAAAAAGGCAATCTGATCTTCTATGAGGAAGATCTGAAAGAGTGTGGTATTGATGCCAGAGAAGCATCTGTGTACTCTGGAGTCTTCACACAGATCTTCAGAGAGGAGTTTGGACTTTTCCAGAAGAAAATATTCAGCTTTGTGCATCTGAGCATTCAGGAACATCTTGCAGCTCTATATGTGTTCTTGTCCTTCCACAACTACAACCAAAACATGCTCGATCCTCAACAGACAAGTAATCATAAACCTGTAACAATGATAAGGTTGCATAAGACTGCAATTGATAAAGCTTCTGAGAGTGAGAGTGGACACCTGGATCTCTTCCTTCGTTTTCTCATGGGCTTCTCACTGGAGTCTAATCAGATCCTCCTACAAGATTTACTAGTACAGAGACGCAATCCTGAGGAGATAACAGAAACCATCAGCTATCTGAAAATGAAAATCAGAGAAAACCTCTGTGCTCATTTGTCTGTAAAATTCTTCAATTGCCTGAATGAGCTTAATGACTGCTCACTGGTGAATGGAATTCAAACATTATTGATGAACAGAACTCTAAATGAGGACAATCTCTCTCCTGAACTCTGGTCAGCATTAGTATTCATAATACTCACTTCAGATGAGAAGTTGGATGAGTTTGAACTTTCTAAATATCCCAAGTCGGATGAGACTTTTTTCCGCTTGCTTCCTGTGATCAGATTGTCTAGGAAGGCCAGGTAGTAATATGTGACTTTATTTATTTTTATCCTTTTAAATTTAAAGGGAAATTTCTTATTGTTTAGAACATCTAATCGAATTCATATCATTTAAAAATGAAACTGCCCACAACAATACTAATTTGTATTTATATGAGTACTAGTACTGCCAATTTTCATTTACTTTTTACCTTTATGTACTTGATCATGTTTAAATATTAATACTTTTATTTACTTTCACTCAAGTATTTTTGGCTCCATATTTCCACTTTTATTTAGGAAAGATTTTGACACAGTACTCACTATTTTGCTGTTTTAGCACCCCACAAACTGCTCCATATAGTAGTTTGGTTTGGTTCACTGTATCCAGAACGTTTTGAAAGATTTTCTTGTAGATTACCACACAGTGTACTTTTTTTACCAGTATAGACTAAACCAGAGAAATCCATGTATGCAGATCAGGAAACATATCTTAAAGAACCATGTCTTAATGACAATAAGAATACAAGTAAAATGTAGCAGTAAAATTTCCATTTAAAAAGTACTTTAAAAATATTCTTAGAATATATTTGTTCCTAACACTCTATTGCATGAATCATTACTTTAACACTTTAACCTGATAAAAATGTTTGAATGTTTTCATTATTTAAAATTGCTTAATTAGTGGAAATAAGTTCCATGATTTCCATGCTTCCATACTTTCCATGATTGCACATTGTTGCTATACTGTTACCTAAAAAAAAAACATTGATCAAACATTGATTGATTCTTGATCAAAACCAAATGTTTTCTATTCGATGTCATTTGATCATTCTCATTCCATACTTTTCATTTGATTTAGTCATCATTGACATGTTTTTATTGACTAGAAATTGGATTGGATTTATGAATCATTTGGGACACAGCGAGATTATAATTTACACCACTGTACATCATGGTTGTCCAGTGGTGTAAATTATAATCTCGCTGATATCTTACAGTTATAAATTTTCTCTAATTACAATTGATTGTTTTTTTTCCTTTTGAAGGTAATCAAAATTTGTAAACATAGTCTAATATGTGCTATGTAACTCAATTACACTCCATTAGATTGAACGAAGACACATCACTTCCAAATTTGCCATATGGCAACAAATTCATTTTAACATTTTACAAAAAATGTATCAGATCTAATTTTTTTTAAATGATGAAATTTAAAAGCTAATTTACCCCAGATAGTATTTCAATTTTTTTCTTGAAGGAATTTTCCTTAAATATTGAATAATTAGTCATCTTTGGAAGTCATGACCAGGTCATAACCTTCTCAGTGTCAAGTGTCCATGGAAAAAGGAAGTGCAAACAGGATTTCCTGGTCATGTAATGTAATCAAATATGTGTCCTTCAAAAGTAAAAGACCCTTTTCCACAATTAAACCTAAGGATTTTATATTACTGCTATTTAGTAAAATTCAGATAAAGTAATTGTTGCCATATGGGTTGTTGCCATGCACTAGAGGACTAAGTTTTAAGATTGCAATGGTGAAATGAAATATATTTATTCTTCCAGGTTAAATAATTGTAACATTACAGCGAAAGGCTGTGCAGCACTAGCCGTAGCTCTCCCCACCATGATAGCCACAAGAGAGCTGGACCTCAGTCACAATCAGTTGCAAGATGCTGGAGTGAAGGTGCTCTGTACTGGAATCCAAGGTGACATCGTGGAAAAAAAAACTGTATGTTTTAATTCTGTCAAGTCAAAGACATTTGGATTAAATATAAGCTATTATTCCTGTTATTATTATCTTATAAGGTAGCGTATAAGGTGATTAATGCATATAAAGAAATATTCATGTAAATCAAGAAGTTCAAGTTTGCTCATCGTTTTACTGAGCTTAATGGTGAAATTTTGTTTTCCTCTCTCTGCAGGGTGGGGTGTTCTGGTATTAGACAAAAGAGACACTTTCTTGATTCAGTTCTGAGTTTAAACCCCTCATGTAAAAGAGAGCAGGTCCTGGTGTGGGATAATGCAGCAGAACTGCTTTGCTGTTTAATACAGTTTTTACATAAGAAGCAGGAATTCCGTGGACTGAAAGGCACTCCTTGTAACATCGAGATACTAAGGTAAATAAACAGTTTTGATCTATGCATTCAAATCACAGATAACAAATGTGCCTGCCCACAGCTGCCATTATAAAATGGACCATTACTAGAAATAAGGCTCCCCTAAAAGGACAAATACAAGCTTAAATTAAAATATGAACAATTATTTCATCTAATCATGTATTTATGTCTTTGTTCTCTGCAGGATGAATAACTGTGGTGTTACAAATGTGGGCTGTGGTTTTCTTGCTTTAGTCCTGAGTTCAAAATCCTCCAACCTGAAGGAACTCGACTTGAGCCAGAACAACATAGGAGACTCAGGAGTGAAAGCACTTTGTAATGTTTTGAAGAGAGCTTCTTGTAAACTGGACACATTGAAGTGAGCTATTATTAATGCATTAGTAGATTAAATTAGATATGTTTATTTAATCTAACAATGCCTTCAATTTAATGTAATAGAGTATTACTGTATGTGCATGGAACCAAGATTAATTTTGCTTTTTATTATTTTTTTCCAAGAATAGACAACTGTAAACTTACAGAGCACAGCTGTGCAGCATTGGCCTCAGCACTACAAGAAAATTCCGGCTTGAAAACTGTGTCCTTGAGTAACAATGAGTTACAGGATTCAGGAGTGAAGCTGCTTGCTGCTGGACTGGAGGATCCTCGCTGTAAACTCGAGACACTGCGGTAAGATTTTTCAACAGATTCAGAAGTTCAATTATTAATCAACAATTTATATAAATGTTTGACTAAAGAGCCTTTTTGGAGCAATGGCTGAAACATTTGTTCGTTCTGTTGTTAACAGTTATCCCTAAGATTATCTCAATGAAATATTTTAATGTCTCTCTTCATAGGCTTTCAAACTGTGAGATCAAATCAGAAGGTTTTTCATCTCTAGCTTTGGCTCTGTTGAATTTATTTATAGGTTGGAGGTTAGGGAACGAGCCTTGTGATTGGAAGGTCACTGGTTCGATCCCCTGAGCTGACAGTACGTGACTGAAGTGCCATTGAGCAAGGCACCTAACCCCCAACTGCTCCCCGGGGGCCGTGGATAGGGCTGCCCATCATTCTGGGACAAGTGTGCTCACTGCCCCCTAGTGTGTGTGTGCCTTTGCTAGTGTGTATGTAGTGTTTCACTGCATGGATGTGTAGATTGCAGAGGTGAAATTTCCCTGTTGTGGGACTAATAAGGGAAGGGTCACTTAATCTAATTTATCTTTCGTTTTACTGTACATTAAGCACTATTAAAATGTATTTAAATTTTGTTGATCTTTAATGCTGTATTCAGCACTGTTCTGTCTAGATTAAAATTGAAACTTATATACATATGTAACATCAGAAATTCCTTGTAATTTATGATATAAATTAAATATATACATTCTCACATGCAGAACCATGATCTTTTATTCTATTATGCTTACTAATTCTCTTATTTTTAGTCAGTCCCACACAGATTTTAGGATGTCCTGGAAGATGTTGCATTTACCAGTACAAATGATATTACTAAATACTCATAACGTCTAAAAGTTGTTGCGAAAGCCTTTTTCAATATATCCCAGATGTAGATTAGATTGTAAGCACTCCCAAGATCTGACTTACTCAAATACCATGAACCCTAGAGTTGCAGTTTAATCTAGTGCAGAATTTAATCCATAATAATCTATACATGCTCTAAGTCCTCTGTATTTCTTTTGTATGAAGAAAAACACTGCAAACATTTGATAAGTAAAGGACCCCATAAAACCCTCACAAAGAGACTCATGGTTGTACTCCTCCATGGATAATGAGTAGTTCATTTAATATATGCACCGTGGTCATTTTTGTGTTTTTTTTTTTTTGGTCTATTTTTTTATTTTTTTTGAATCTAAAAATTCAGGTCTCTTTCACCTATGTTAAGTAACGTATCTTTCAAAACTAAATCAAACCTAATGAGGGTGAATTTGCATATGATCAAAGGCAAGTTCATTGTTCACTGTTATATAGGAAAGCAAGAAGTGTAAATAAGATGTTGTGTATGACATAAGGTGATATGTTTGGTAACACTTTACTTGAACCCTGCGATATATCATTAACATGACCATGCCACAAACATCATGGAAGATGTCATGTATGACATCATGAGAGCTTGTACCCTAGTTAGTCATCATGACATCAAATATTACGACATCTGTCATGACAATTACTGGTAATGGTAATATGATACTTTAATATTACTGGTCATAATAATGATATACGTATGGCATGGATATGTCAAAGTTATGTAGCAGGGTTCAAGTAAAGTGTTACCTTATGTTATTTAGTAAACACTTCTGGGATAGTGAAGTCAAGAGTAGTGCTTATTCTTCATATACAATAAGTGGAATAAAGGTGAAAAATCAGATATAAGTGAAGAGCACAGTGTAAAAAGTAATGTCTGCTGAAAAGATTTCTATGGTTGTTTTGTCCTTTGGGCTAAATGAGTGCAGCTTTGGCCTCAGTTCTCAGCTGAGTGTTTATGTTGGAGAAAACTGGACCTCAGTAATAATGACCTAAAGGATTCAAGAGTGAAGCTGCTTTCTGTTTAAAACAATCTATGGTAAAATTTTTTAATGAATGACATCATTCTTCAGATTGCCCAAATGTTATGAAAGTGTGAATTTATCACTAATAGGTAATTTAAAATGATTTGTCTTTTGGATTTATGTTTGCACCATTTCAGAACAATCTTAGCCAATTCTTTCTTTTGATGTTTTACAGTTAACTCTTAGTTAAACCACATGAATCCAAGAGCAAGTAAATATACAGGGTCTGGATTCTTTGAATTAATCAGAAGCATGGCTTTTTAGTTCAGGCTGTCCAGTTGTAGTGCCGCAGTAGAGTGTATTGTTGCATTGGCTGAAGCCCTGAAGTCAAATCCCTCACATCTGCAAGAACTCAGTTTGCAGCATAATGATATTAGTCTCTGGAATATGCTCTCTGGCATCCAGGCCTACACATGATATAAACAGCGGAATTCAGAGAGACTGAAATGTGATCCTCCAGACGAGCAAGTTATTGAACTTGTTAAACTGTGCTCTTTAGAAGCTGGTTATTTTGAAAGCAAGACAAACCCACTGAACTTCCAAATTAAACTTGCTACTGCATACTGATCTGAATGTAAATCAAATAGTGTGTGTAGTTTCAGTGATCCACACCACCTCTGTATTTTACCTTTATTTTACAAACTAGATACAAAATTTCATAAATAAAACTCATAAGTTACATGTACCTAAATTCATCAAGAATGAAAAAAGGAAGAGAAACATTTCAAGCAAGATGAACAAATCACATATTTTAAGAGTGCGCCTAAGAAGTGTTATTGCATTATGCTGTGTTATGTTCAGTGTTGTCCATTTTAAAAAAAAAACACATTTATTATATAATACATTCAATTCTTCTTTCCCTTTTGCATATGAACCAAAAGACTTTCCATCTGCATTTCACATATTCCGCTCATAATATAGCAAAACAACACTGCTATATGTACATATATAATCCCAAATGTGTAGACTTTTAGTGCGTCCTTAGTGAGTGCTGTTACATACATGAATCTGTAAAACATCCCCCAAAACATGGGCTGGCTCCTTAGAGACAGATTAAGGAAATACATAGATCAAAATTAAGACTCCAAGTCCAGGACGAGGCTTAATCTGTGTCTGGGAAACAGTTTAAGGCAAAAGGGCTTGTGAAATATCTGATTTAGTGGGCAAAAAGACAAACACATTGCAATAACACTTTACTGAAGGGCAGGATTCATAAGGCTACATGACACCTACATAAGCCCTTCATGACAACTCACATAAACGTATATCATGCCTGTTGGCTTATTCCAACAGGCATGAGCTGTTTTTGCAAACTTTGATTTTGAAGTTGACATAACACCTATGTCAAGGTTATAGATTAGATATTCTATAATCTTCACATAGATGTTTTTTCTGACATTAGATTGTAAAGACATTCCTTGTGGGGAATGGGATAACATGCTAGGACAACTGACTTTGTAGAGCAGTGTATTTTAGGTATGTCATAGTGGTGTAATACTGATAACTGCCAAGTCAGGCTGGTAACAAAAGTGAACAAAGTGAAAAAGATGCTCTGGATCTCCTGTAGTTGGTCATTTGTGGTAACATTGAGATAAAAACCTATTGTACAATAGACATATAGTGAGTATATATAGTAGAGCATTGACACTAACAGCCGTAACACTGTGAGGACAATATTATGTATATTTTCTCTGGCGCTTAGGTGAAGTGAGTTTCAATTTACTGTTTTGTTTGAATCCCTAGGCCAAGTCCATGACACTTCAGTGTCATGTTTACAAAGGGCTTATTTAAATGTCAGGTGTCACCCAAACTGCCTATGTAGTGAAATTGCTTTTATAGTGTTTGGTGATGTGGCTGATCTAATGTGAGAGAGTTTTCCAGGCACATATTAAAGATCATGAATGAACAATTGTGTTCAGAGATCCCTATTTAAACAATATATCTCCATAGCTTTATATTACAAGGCCACCACTTTGTTGTGGTCAGTTCAAAGTGGACTGCTAGTCTAATTTGAAAGCAAATGACATTATAACATGATGTTTTACATTCAAATCGTTATGTCCTTAATACAAGTCTGGAAAACCAAATCCACACAAAATACATTAACAACAGATGAATACCGGTGGATTACAGTGTAATACAATGGCGAGAATTTGTCAGGACTTCTCACTGCAGTCTCATCACTGAACAGTATGGAGGCAGAGGGAATCCTTAACGCAACAGAGTGGAATGATGTAGCTAGAAAGAGAGACAAAAACAAAGAAATGAAGAACAATGATGAGTTGTGTTTTTAATTCTAACTTCTGCCCATTTTGTAATGGAAAATAATGGAAAATAAATGAAGCCTTGAGCCCCTTCATAGTGGAAAATACCTGGATTCATCTATTCTCTCCCATGATCTGTATACTGCATATGTATTTGTAGAAGAATTCCTCTTAGTCCAGTGATGCTTCTGAAATGCATCTGAAGAGAGTAGCTCTATGTCCAAGTAAATAGAAGTCAGTCAGGTATATTGGAAGTTGGACGGAATGGATCCTGAGAAAACACACTCCAGTAGAAGATAATGCTTGAATTTTGAATTTGAAGGACCATGTGAACAGAGAAATAATCCATAATCATTGAGAAGAGTGACATTCAGAAGATGACCTGAAGGGGGCAAAGTTGCTACCAATTCAAAAAACAAAAAAATCTTCCAAGACTAAGTGGAACAACTGGCATCTTATTGCAGTTACGTGAGTTTCAATCCCAGTAATGCCACTGCCATCCATGTCTTGTTGTCCAAGACAATTACAATTGACTTGACTGTACTCTGAGTAGAAAGGATAGCTTTAGTTTTTCTTTCATGTCTATCTATAGCAATGCTAGCCAATTGTGGGCACCTGCCATGTCACATAGACAGAACTTTGCTTGGTAGTATTCACCATTCATTGCTTGGTGTCATTGCGACAATGGGTGGGGAAACATGGCAACTAACATTAGGGAGATAAGTGGGCCACAAAAAAATATCTCTGTTCACAAAAGGAATACACATCTCACAGTTCAAGTCCCACTTTGCAGTCTCCAGAGCCAAGAGTAGATTCAGATATGTGTCAAAGAAATCCTGAATCTGTATCAAAGTCTCAATAGTCTTGAGAGATTAAGTAATCAGCCTTCATTATTAGCAAGGGGCCACATTAGATATCCTCATCCAGGAAGACCACGAGGACCACAGGCATGGAAATGTCCATGTTCTCTAGATAATGCAGGCTAGTCCATCGAAAGTGCAGCTATTCCCACTGTCTCTTACTCTCCATTTCGAATTAAAGTGCATGAGTAGGTAAATTATTATATCCCTCTTATCTTCATATGATCATTCATGTGGGTTTAAGATGCACTGAGTTTTCTTCCCTTTTGCAGATCAGACAGGAATCTTTCTGGCTT